TGTAAATGGTTTCAGAAAGGTAGCATAAGGGTCTAAGGATATAAACATCATCAACTATGTGGTTTTATGCATCAACAATAAGGATGTAAATCATTTTATATAATTGATTAGGATGGAACTGATGATGATGGTCGGTTGATGGGTGTATAGGGGATTATGCTAGTCCATATATTGGGGATTATCATCAAGAATGAGCTTGGAACTCCGTTCCTAAGCAGATTCCGGTCGCAAGCAACCAGCATACTGAAATGCAGGAGGTTTTTTTTGTTTTTTTTTACACTGCACTGGTAGATGACAGATCATTTTTCCATGTGAACTTTGGGGTAACGACGATAGGGACTTCACCAACAGCTGGGTGACCAAACATTCCACCAGCGAGCTGAGAGATTCGATCCGACATCGAGCTCGAGCATGCTCAAAGCCACTTGGGGGTGTTCAATTTTGCAGCCTTGGAGATGTTTGCGCATCTTGATTGATGTTTCTCTCCACATCACATTATGATAATTATAGTTTTTTTCCCCTCTTTTTTTGAGCCAAGCAAGGCTTGATGGTTTCTTCCCACTTTCTCAACAGGAAAACCATTTACATATGCCATGGCTTCAATGATATCATTTTCGTAAACTGAGGTCCTTTCAGGTTTGCAAAATAAAGTGCTTGAATGCTTCTACTGTCAACCGGGGATGAAAAATCCCTGGTTGATTAATTATGGGGGCTCCAAAATGTCTACTCAAATGGTACCTCCCAATTAAACGGCCTAGGGGTTTATGAATCGGGTTTGATATTAATCCCCCGAAAATCGATCCATTGAAACCGAAAAATATGGTTGGTTTTTCCATTATAACCCCGTTAGATTCTCATATAATTGCCATGTAATCCCAGTAATATCATTGTAATATCCCCATTGTATTCCCATTCTTGTTGGTTCACAACTCCATTTTTTTCAATAAGTTATTGGTTGAATCCAAATTATTCATGGTTCATGGTTCGATCCCAATGTCGGCATGTTTTACCAGTTAAATCCATTATGAATCCTATGTTTCATGGTTAAACCTCTATGGGTATGGATCAATACCTACTAATACCATTTTTAGGGGGATGAACATCCATTTACCAGCTATTTTGATGTTCACCAGGGGTACAAGGTTTTGACACACTGCCCTATGGCATCCCTATGATTTATTCATATGAAATATACATCATTAAAATCCGTAAGCATGATCCATATCTTATTTAGTTATATAGTTATATATATAATATATATAATATCCTATTTATCCATGAAATCCCCACGATCCCCATATCATCACCCCGTGCTATGACCCTCCAACCGTCCAGGCGAAAGGTGCTGCCCATGTGTTCCAAGCGTGGAGCCGCTCCGGCAACGGATTCCGCCACGGCCACGTTGAAGGCTTTCGCAGTGAGCTGAGTGGAGTATTTTGTTTGGGATTTAACCTGCGAAACTGGAAGAATCATGGGAATATTATGGGATAGGATGGGGATTATTATCCAGATACCTTCGTGTTGTAACTTCACTGTACTTATTTGTTTTTGCTGTTACACTGTTGTTGATGTTGTGATGGTCTTAAGCCACCAAGCAAACGTTCATTGATCATCATTGATCATTGGGAAGATGTGGAACTTTGTCACTGATGATGTCACAACGGGGGCAGGGCCATCCTTGGTGACCTCACTGATGGATGGATAGATAGATATATAGATCGATAGATAGATCGATAGATCGATCGATCGATCGATAGATAGATAGATAGATACATCCATCGATCGATAGATCGATTGATCGATAGACCGATAGATCGATAGATACATAGATACATAGATAAATAGACAATTAGATAAGATAAGATAAGATAGATTGGCAGAGAGCGATAGAGAGGGAGACAGAGAGATAGATAGAGAGATACATAGAGAGAGAGAGAGAGATAGATAGATAGATAAATAGATAGACAGACAGACAGACAGATAGATAGATAGATAGGTAGAGAGATAGAGGGGGAGAGAGAGAGAGATATACATACATACAATATATACTACACACAGTATAATATTCTATATAGTATGCCAACTCAGATGTGCACTCATTTCTGTTTCATATTCTTGCCACCATATCCATTTACACAGGATTTTCCCGTTGAAAAAGTGCTGGTTTTCCATTGCGCAGGGTGAAGCCGGCGAAGCCGGCAAGGAGCTTACGGAGGATGCTGAGGCGGAGCCATCTATCATTCAACGATAGATCATCGATGGATCATCGATGGATCATCTTGTTTTTTTTCCTTAGGTCATAGAAGGTTCATATCATTCCCATTGAATCATTCGGAATTCAAGCTTCCACTATGTTTCACCAGACATCCAACAATATCTTGTAAAGTATGGTTCATATCAATGTTTCATACCATATCTCAATGGATTGGTTTAAGGGAAAATTTACAGGAAAGCCCCAGATTTCATGGGAAAATCTATGGTTTCCGGTTAAGATTTTCCCTTAAACCAATCCATTGAGATATCCATCGGACTTCAACCAGAAATCCATCCAGTCTATCCACCTGCCATGGTGACGCCATGGCACCGAGGTCTCTGAACTCTGGCAGTCGGAGGAGGTGGCGCTGCCATTGGTCACCGCTGAGGGGGCGGATGCACAGGTGGGCCGAAGCCATGGGAATTTTTAGGACGTTTCTAAGAGGAAAATCATGGGGATTCAACGAAGAAAAATATGACTTCAATGGTGGAAAATCATGGAAAATCTCAATGGGAAGATGGGGGAAATCTTCGAAAATGCTGGATCTGAATGGGATTTATGTGATGTTTATATGGGAATTATATATATCAGTTTTATGCGGGATGCATATGGGAAATATATGAAAAGCAACCATGAAACATAATTAGTGATTTTGACCCCCCAAAAAACCAAACATGGAGATACAAAGAATCAGTAGTGGGGATATGATGGGTGTATTGTATGGAATGTATTTGGTAATGTAATGGAGATATGATAGGGATACAATCAGGATGTTTTAGGGAATGATTTCAGCAATGAATTGGTTTCAGCCATAGCTGACTATTTTCTACACAACCTGGGATGACGATCCGGGCAAACAATCCCAAGTAGTATAGTTTTTTTCCTGCTTAAAATCATCCATTTTCCAATTTATTTACAGTACAAAAAATATCACATTGTGTTTAGACCTCCATTTTCCCAATTTATTTACAATACAAAAAATATCACATTGCGTTTAGACCTCCATTTTTCCAATTTATTTACAGTACAAAAAATATCACATTGTGTTTAGACCTCCATTTTCCCAATTTATTTACAATACAAAAAATATAACATTGTGTTTAGACCTCCATTTTTCCAATTTACTTACAGTACAAAAAATATCACATTGTGTTTAGACCTCCAATTTTCCAATTTTTTTTAGACCTCCATTTTTCCAATTTACAGTACAACAAATATCACATTGTGTTTAGACTTCCATTTTACATTATTTATAGTATAAAAAATATCACAGTGTGTTTAGACCTCCATTTCTCCAACTTACTTACAGTACAAAAAATATCACATTGTGTTTAGACCTCCATTTTTCCAACTTACTTACAGTACAAAAAATATCACATTGTGTTTAGACTTTCATTTTTTCCAATTTATTTACCGTACAAAAAATATCACATTGTGTTTAGACCTCCATTTTTCCAATTTATTTACGGTACAAAAAATATCACATTGTGTTTAGACCTCCATTTTTCCCATCTATTTACAGTACAAAAAATATCACATTGTGTTTAGACCACCATTTTTCCAACTTATTTACAGTACACAACATATCACATTGTGTTTAGACCTCCATTTTCCAATTTATTTTCAGCACAAAATATCACATTGTGTTTAGACCACCATTTTTCCAATTTATTTACAGTACAAAAAATATCACATTGTGTTTAGACCTCCATTTTCGCAATTTATTTACAGTACAAACAATATCACATTGTGTTTAGACCTCCATTTTTCCAATTTATTTACAGTACAAAAAATATCACATTGTGTTTAGACTTTCATTTTTTCCAATTTATTTACAGTACAAAAAATATCTCATTGTGTTTAGACCTCCATTTTTCCAATTTATTTACGGTACAAAAAATATCACATTGTGTTTAGACCTCCATTTTTCCAATCTATTTACAGTACAAAAAATATCACATTGTGTTTAGACCACCATTTTTCCAATTTATTTACAGTACAAAAAATATCACATTGTGTTTAGACTTTCATTTTTTCCAACTTATTTACAGTACAACAAATATCACATTGTGTCTAGACCTCCATTTTTCCAACTTACTTACAGTACAAAAAATATAACATTGTGTTTAGACCTCCATTTTTCCAATTTATTTACAGTACAAACAATATCACATTGTGTTTAGACCTCCATTTTTCCAATTTATTTACAGTACAAAAAATATCACATTGCGTTTAGACCTCCATTTTTCCAATTTATTTACAGTACAACAAATATCACATTGTGTTTAGACCTCCATTTTTCCAATTTATTTACAGTACAACAAATATCACATTGTGTTTAGACCTCCATTTTTCCAATTTATTTAATTACAGTACAAAAAATATCACATTGTGTTTAGACCTCCATTTTTCCAATTTATTTACAGTACAACAAATATCACATTGTGTTTAGACCTCCATTTTTACATTTTTTTTACAGTACAAAAAATATCTCATTGTGTTTAGACCTCCATTTTTCCAATTTATTTACAGTACAAAAAATATCACATTGCGTTTAGACCTCCATTTTTCCAATTTATTTTCAGTACAACAAATATCACATTGTGTTTAGACCTCCATTTTTCCAATTTATTTACAGTACAAAAAATATCACATTGCGTTTAGACCTCCATTTTTCCAATTTATTTACAGTACAACAAATATCACAATTTGTTTAGACCTCCATTTTTACTTTTTTTTTACAGTACAAAAAATATCTCATTGTGTTTAGACCTCCATTTTTCCAATTTATTTACAGTACAAAAAATATCACATTGCGTTTAGACCTCCATTTTTCCAATTTATTTACAGTACAAAAAATATCACATTGCGTTTAGACCTCCATTTTTTACATTTTTTTTACAGTACAAAAAATATCTCATTGTGTTTAGACCTCCATTTTTCCAACTTACTTACAGTACAACAAATATCACATTGTGTTTAGACCTCCATTTTTACATTTTTTTTACAGTACAGAAAATATCTCATTGTGTTTAGACCTCCATTTTTCCAATTTATTTACAGTACAACAAATATCACATTGTGTTTAGACCTCCATTTTTCCAATTTATTTACAGTACAACAAATATCACATTGTGTTTAGACCTCCATTTTTCCAATTTATTTACAGTACAAAAAATATCACATTGTGTTTAGACCTCCATTTTTCCAATTTATTTACAGTACAACAAATATCACATTGTGTTTAGACCTCCATTTTTACATTTTTTTTACAGTACAAAAAATATCTCATTGTGTTTAGACCTCCATTTTTCCAATTTATTTACAGTACAAAAAATATCACATTGCGTTTAGACCTCCATTTTTCCAATTTATTTACAGTACAACAAATATCACATTGTGTTTAGACCTCCATTTTTACATTTTTTTTACAGTACAAAAAATATCTCATTGTGTTTAGACCTCCATTTTTCCAATTTATTTTCAGCACAAAATATCACATTGTGTTTAGACCACCATTTTTCCAATTTATTTACAGTACAAAAAATATCACATTGTGTTTAGACCTCCATTTTCGCAATTTATTTACAGTACAAACAATATCACATTGTGTTTAGACCTCCATTTTTCCAATTTATTTACAGTACAAAAAATATCACATTGTGTTTAGACTTTCATTTTTTCCAATTTATTTACAGTACAACAAATATCACATTGTGTTTAGACCTCCATTTTTACATTTTTTTTACAGTACACAAATTATCACATTGCGTTTAGACCTCCATTTTTCCAATTTATTTACAGGACAAAAAATATCACATTGCGTTTAGACCTCCATTTTTTCCATTTTTTTTACTGCTTAAAATTATCACATCACCATTTTCTGGTGAGATCTGGTGAGATCCCGACCTCTCTAATCGCCATAGGCCTGGCTCCTGGTGAGCTTCGCCCTTCATCGACCGTCGGGTTGCCGCGCTTCCACGGCTTGGCAGGTGCTGTTTTTTCCAAGAAAAATGGTGGAAAGATGGGAAGATCCATGGGAAAATGATGGGAACATTATCGAAAATCGTGGATTTCCATGGGGGAGCCTCAATTTAGATTTCATGAAGAAAGATGGTGACAGAATAACTGTAATAGTTCATGGGATGCATTGGGATATTCATGGAACATTGGTCATGAAACATGGAAGGCCGATAAATCCCTGAACCAAATGAACGGAAATCATCGAAATATAGCCATGTTTGATTACCAGCGGATATATATATAGATGAAAAAACACCAGAAAAAACGGAACACTATGGAAGGGTAGGTGGAAAACTGCTGGAAAACGACTCAATAAAATGGAGTCATTGAAAAGGAAGAGGATGGGAACATATGGAAAACATATTGCAATCTGTGATTTTTGGAAAGATTCGAAAACCAGTTTGACATTGGTGGATGCTTTATGCCCCTCGGGGAGTTTGCTAGGGAAAGATTTCCACATCGATCTTTCTGTGGAGATTCATCCAGTAGATCACTAGATCTAGCTCGGAATCGCCAAACATGCGAGCTAAGTCAGCAACCCGCCCTTTGAGGGTTCCCAACAATGGTAGGTCGGTGCTGACGCGGCTAGTGCCATGCTCAACGCCCTTCCGGTGTTGCCGAGCTGTTTGAGCTGTTGCAGCCCGGTCGCGGAAGAGAGGTGCACTTCAGCAATGGTGTCGTTTGGGGATCCAAAATCCCATACCATCAAAGACCCCTTTAAATGGTCCCAATTATGTGGAAAAAATCCCTACTAAACCATTAATACGGGGATGAGATTTATGACCAGCAGTGGGTTGACCCTCTGGTAATCCATAGCCATGGAAAATGGTCCGTTTGTAGATGACTTGTACCTGAGAAACATGGTCGTTATTCTAGGTTCGATGACCAGATTGTAAACATATGTAAACATCAAATGCAATCTTTCAATCAAACATGGCTTACTGAGACTGGAAAATCCACATTTGTAGCTGATTTAAATCTATTTAAATGGCAATTTGAAGGGGATTTCCTGTGGCCATGATGGATCACCGTTACGTGACGAACTGGGGGCCGAAACGGTGCCGCGGCCAGGCTGCAACGGCCGGTTGAAACGGTGCCCGTGTTGCCTGCGTCATCTTCCCTCCGTGGCTTGGCATGGCATGGCATGGCATGGCAGGTTGATGAGCGTGATGAGTTGCACATATGACGTGTATATATACTGTATATATAAAATATATAATATATATATAATATATATATATAATATATAATATATATATATAATATAATATAATATATAATATATAATATATATATATTTAGACATACGTGTATGTCTATAACTTATCTGTGGTTATGTATTTCGCACACATTCATACATACGGACATACATACATACAGAGATACATACACACATACATGCATGCATGCATGCATGCAATGCATGTTTGCATGCATGCATGCATACAGACATACAGACATACAGACATACAGACAGACAGACACACAGACACACAGACATACAGACATACAGACAGACAGACACACAGACAAACAGACACACAGACATACAGACATACAGACATACAGACATACAGACATACAGACATACAGACATACAGACATACACACACACATCCATCCATCCATCCATCCATCCATCCATGCATGTTTGCATGCATGCATGCAGACATACAGAGTAAGTTTATGCAAGTATCTGGGTGTAAGCCAGTTGTACATGGGACAGTCCCAGGAATCGGAAACTTCCAAAAGGGATGACTCAACAAGCGAGAGAATCTCCTGCGCGATGGGCACTTGCAAGGTGAGCATAGCTGGATCCATATTCCATCATTTCCATTGCATTTCAACATGTCAATGATTTAAAATCTTTGCTGAATTCATCTAAAATGAGTAGAAACTACAAAGTTATATGGTACATCCTCGAAAATGATCTAAAATCTAAACATCACCTAAACTATAGTGTATAGAACTTAACTCCCAGTCCTATAGGCTATAAAAATCTAGAAAAGCTATAGCATCTAATTATATAGTATCTATAGTACATCCTCTAAAATCAACCAGATGTGTTTTTTTGTTCCGGAGCCCAGTCCGATGGATTGCCAGGTTCGCCGAGCAGCGCATCTCCGCGCCGTAAACGCCAGGCACCAGGGGAATGGAAACCACAGATACTGTAAGTCTATACATATATTATCATATAAGTCTACATATTTATGTATGTATGCATATATCTGTGTATATGTATATGTATATGTAGATGTATATGTATATGTGTTTATGTAAATATATCTGTATATCTCTATATATGTATCTATGTATCTATGAATATATGTTTATATGCCATACCATACCATTACATTACATTCCATATACATATTGACACGGACACTTATCGAACGGTCAAACACTCGTTGCAGGTCTCACCCTCTCGGGAATCACTGGAGCCAGCCCCCGAGCCACCTGTGGCGGTGACAGCGCTGTCGCCGCTCTCGCCAGCAACCGGAACGAGGTGGGGTATACCGTGATATACCGCCCAAAATAAACATTTTAATAGGGAATATGATGACTAGCCATCAAAATAGAACGGGGTACTGCATTCTCAGACTAGCCATGATAGTCATGTGGGATCCTTAAAATGATACAAACCAAAGCCTTGGGATCCAGGGGGTATGATAAATCATCCCCAAAGGCGGTGTATGCTGCCATTGCGGTGAAGAGCCCCCCCGAGTTGGAACTGGGCTTGCTCACCTCATTCCAATAGTGAGTGATAGATGCCCCCTACCAAATTAGACTAACATAGTTGTGTGAGATACTGTAAAATGATGTAGAATCACAATCTTTAATAGATAATATGCAATGCAAATCATCCATAAATGGACCATTTTCCATAGCTATGTTAAATAACCAGAGGGTAATCCAAGTTAGAAGTATTGATAATCCCATTATATACCAAATATACCATTTACAGCTGGCTGCGGGGCCCAGTATCCTCCTTAAGGTTGTTTTGTCGACTCCCGTTGTTGTTGGTGAAGTCACCATAAACGTAGCCATTGCTAGATGAATCTTCCATAGTAATTGCCATAGATAGGAGGCAACCGTGCCATGTTGTTCAATCGCAATTTTTACAAGTTAACTCACCGTTTTTAGACGAGGTAGAATCATATAGAATCACCATGTTTGATGGTTAAATTCTATATGTTTGATGGCTTTCTCTCCATCTTTGATGGTTATAAAATCCCATAGTGGTTGGCATTTTACCCATGAGCCAGGCCCAGCTGGTTACCCATGCAGCCGCCCTCGCAGCCGCCCTTGCAGCCGCCCTTGCAGCCGCCCTTGCAGCCGCCCTTGCAGCCGTCCTTGCAGCCGCCCTTGCAGCCGTCCTTGCAGCCGCCCTTGCAGCCACGCAACACGTCGCAGTACGGGACGCCGGCGCCCAACGTCTTCGGTCTGGCACCGGCGCCGGTGCCATGGAGCTAAGAATGGCTCAGCTTGGTTAATCCCATGCACATAGCCGTTTTTTCTTAAAGGAAGTTATCTGGGTTAATGCACGGATGTATATTTAGTGACCCCCCCGAAAAATAGACCACGTCAGATTTATCACTATTTTAGTGGGATGTTAGTTACACACTTTTATCTTTTTGGTTGCTACTATACATGTAGGACAATCATATCATATGGGATTATATGTCATTGCAGGCAGTAGGGGGGCATGAATTTTCACCGGCCCGCATAGCCCCGCATAGCCCCGCATAGCACTGCATAGCACCGCATAGCCCCGCATAGCTGCATTGACTGTGCACATCATAGCCCCGACCCCGCATAGCCCCGCATAGCCCCGCATTTGTAGATCTGACGCGCTTTCCGCGGTTCAGCAACCGCAACGACCCGCCTGTTCTTCCTATCGTTGTAGGGCTGCGGGGCCAATACTTGCAGGATTCATCAAAATATTTGCTCTCGGATCAGTGCCCGACCATTTTATTTATGTGCACACACACACATATATTGCACCAGGCTCTGCCAGCCCCCCCCACTCCCCCCCCCAATATGGGATGGGTCCCATATACTGGTCCCATATGAGATCTTCCCCTCCCCCCCTGTGGTGTGGTGGGGGTGTGGCACTGTCCCCCTCCCCCCCCTGTGGTGTGGTGGAAGGGTCCCATATACTGGTCCCATATGAGATCTTCCCCCTCCCCCCCCTGTGGTGTGGTGGGGGTGTGGCACTGTCCCCCTCACCCCCCTGTGGTGGTGTGGTGGATGGGTCCCATATACTGGTCCCATATGAGATCTTCCCCCTCCCCCCCCCTGTGGTGTGGTGGGGTGTGGCACTGTCCCCCTCCCCCCCTGTGGTGTGGTGGGGGTGTGGTATGGTATGGTGGGTATGTATGGTGTGTATGGTCGGTCTGGTATGGCATGTTTGGAAAGTATGGTATGTTTGGTATGTATGGTAGGTATGGTATGTATGGCATGAGTGGTTGGTATTGTATGGATGGTAGGTATGGTATGTAAGTCTGTTGGATATGGTATGTTTGATATGACAGTATGTATGGTTACTATGATGGGTATGGAATATGTCCTATCTAAGGTAGGTATGGTATGTATGGCATGTATGCTTGCTATTGTATGTATGCTATTGTATGTATGGTAGGTGTGGTTATTACATTTCATATGTATGGTATGTATGGTATGTATGATAGATATGATAGGTATGGTATGCATGGCATCATTGACATGTATGGTAGGTACGGTATATGTTCAACAGAGGTAGTGTTGTCAGAGTACACAGGTAGTAAACAGGAAGTAGATACAGTAGATACATAGCACATATATGTATGACTATAGGTAGCACGTAGGTACTTTGAAGGAGTATGTGTGCTACGTAGGTCGCCTAAAAGGTAGCATGTACCTAGTAAATGCGAGGCTGGTAGTCAGAAATGCTGCAAAGACCTAGCAAATACGAAGCTGGACCTCAGAAATGCTGCCAATAGCTTGCAAATAGAAGGGAATTGGGGCTACTACCTGGGGACCCAACCCATGGGGGGGGTGGAGAGACGGAGGACGGGACCATATATATATAATATGTGTATGCATACATTATTATCACATATATATGTATATATATATACACATACATATCCAGCAGAACTTGAGGCAAATTGTCTTGGGTGAGGACTGTTTCCTTGAAAGTCCTCCGGTGGACGGTGAATTGGAGAATGTCGCAGCATGTTGAGCCTTGTGGTAACAGGCAACCTGGGTATGGAATGCCTATGAACACCTTCTTGTATTTGCATGTTGTACTGCCCAAATTCAAATCTCCATGTATTTTTTGGTCGCTATTTTTCCTGTGCCTTTTCCCAGCCGTAAAAGTGGTCCCTTTGTTCCGAGGCTGCTCCTGCCAAGCTATTTGCACCAGCGGCCAACATGACGCGTGGAAAGAACGTGCTGGGAGCGTTTGCTCAGGGCGAAGGGGGATGCTTAGCATCAGATCTTCTCACATCTCCCCACCAGGAACTCATTCAATGACAGCCACATACTGTATGGTCTAGAACGGGAACCCGAGCAATACTTCAAGCGGACTTTGGACCCACTTTGCTGTTCTTGATTGAGCATATTGAGCTGCCATCTTGATATGATTAATTTGGGGGATCAAAATATCAAAATCTACACAATATTTGGTGGTGATGAACACCCATCAATCCCAAGATTTACCAGCTATTTTGGTGTTCACCAACGGGTTCCATGGGTTTTGCGAGGCCCAGATGGCTCCGCAGGTGACTTTGACGCGCACAGCATTGCGAGCATTGCCTGGGGATTTGCCACCCTGGTGGCCTGGACCAACGCCGGATGTGATGCCCCCAGATGTTGGGTGGAATGATTTCATACGGCAATTCATATGGTTTCAATGGCACGATTTTCCCTGGCGTTTCCACCTACAAGTCAAACATAGTCAAACTCTCGGCAGATTGACGTCATCCCATCTAAGCGCTTTTCCATGCTTTTCCCATGGGAGTTTTGTGGTTTCAGACTCTGAGGTCTATCACGAGGTCCATGTCTTTGAGGCCGAAGTTTTTGCCTCTTTTTGGGGCAAACGGTTCCCGAGATTCACAGGATAGATCCTGAACTCTCGGAGAGGGCGATGCAGAGAGATATACAAATCATACGTATCTATCTGCACATCATATTGAGATGAACATGTATGTGCACATAGAAAATGTATACCGTATAGCCCTATTTCAACTAGAAACAAGACGTTTATAAATGTCTAGTATGTTTAGTGATACAGTATACAGGTTGAGTATCTGAGGGTTTCAAATTGGAGCCCCAAATCTCCCAGGCGATCGGCGCCGTGGGGCGCCAGGGCTGGCATCCACAGGACTTGGCCAATGTGGCGTGGGGATCTGCTGTCGTTGCGGTGCCGGTGCCCATGGCGGAGGACCCGGGGATACCCGGATGGTCCCGGATGGTCCCGGTGGGGAAAACTGGGACAGCTCTTGGTGAATGGTGGTTTAACCATGAAAAATGGTGGTTTAATGGGATTTAACATTGATTTAACCAACAAAAATGGTGGCTTTAATGGGATATACCGATATACCCTCTGGTAAACATACAAAAAGCTATTGAACATGGCCCTAGAAATAGTGGATTTACCCATTAAACAATGTGATTTTCCATAGTTACGTTAGTTTGCCAGAGGGTATATCATGATGGACTAAACTGAGGACTAAACATGGATTTTCCCAGCGATGTGGTATGTTTGGTTGCAAATGTAAATGTCAAACATGAGGAATATCCTATGATATAATCCAATTGATTACGAGGCTTCAGATCATACATTCTTGCAGGGCATCTAGTTTAAGCTTAGCCAAGGAAATTGAAGAATGTTGAGGATCATTTACTGTAAGGTGCATCGTCGCAATCAATGAAGGTTGGCACCTCCACCATTAAGGCAGATGATGATGTTTTTTTCCCACTGTTAGAGGGTAGAGCAAAGGGCAGTCGAAAGTTGAAACCACAACAATTATGAAACTATCTGCCAAGTCGAGAAGTCCTCGCCATCCATGTCCTCACGAAACACTTGGATGTTCAGACGGCTGTAGGTGGCTGTGGAGTCGTTGCGCAAGCTGCCAGACTTCAGGCCGGTCCATTTTTAGTACCCGTACTACCCCGTGTCATCAAAGATGGTAAGCTGGAAAATCCACGAACTATCCTCTGGTAAACTAACATAGCTATTGAACATTGCCATTTATAGTGGATTTTCCCATTAAAAATGGTGAATTTCCATAGTTATGTTAATTTACCAGAGGGTAAATGACCATCTATAATGATCTAGAATGGGAAAATGATCGAACTAAATGGAGGGGTTTGACCTATCCCCATGTAACTCTACCATTGAAAGGTATAAACCATCAACAATATTATATTTGTGACCAATAAGAACTAGGTTTACACTGCTCTGGTGCTGGTCAGGTCGGAGAAGCGGGGGACCTTTTTTGGAAGCCGATGACTTTCTTTTGTGACCTTGTCATGACCTTGTTCCGCGAAATAAATTTATCTGAATTATATTAAATTATCCAAATTTGATTGGTACAGAATCAACTATATACTATCTAAAATAACTGCTTGGTTCAGATCGCTTCCCAAATTTCCTGGTAGTTAGAGAAACCTATCCCAGCGGCCAACCCCAATATTTGCCTTCGTTTGGCGATGCGGACATTCCCCTTTAAAAGGTGATTAGATTCAATTTCAATAATATTGTACTCCAGTTGCCAGGCAAGAAGAAGTGGAAATGCTTCTGTGGGCCTTGGCTCCCTCCCAGTTGGACATGGCCATGGAGATTCTAAAAGCAACAGATCAGCAGAGAGCCTCAGGATCGGCGTTGCCGGGGAAGCTAACATGGCAATATGATGCAATCTATTATAGCAACCCCCTAAAAGATGCTGCAGTATTGGAAATCTGGAAATGGAGAACGCATCATCGAACTACCATCCTGGACATACTCTTCTATTTAGTTGGGGGATATTTATATATTTCATATTCACACACACACATATATATATACGGGTGGTCTGGCGAACTTGTTGCCTCCAGTGGGCTGTGCCAGATCACCACATCATTCATGATGAATGCTTCTGACCTAAGGCCATTACTGTTAATCAGTATTGGCCGAGGGTTGCGGTGACCCGTGAACTATGGTTAATAGGGGTATTTATATATAGATATGTATATAAATGCATATAGTGTACATGTGATGTAATTTTTCATCTGAACAATGGTTTTGTTTCTTGCCACGTCAGATTAAAGAAGGGGATAACCCGGGCCAGGGCGCATGCCGTCATCAAGGTTACTTCGAGAATTCAATGGTAGGATTTTCAGGATTGGTCGAACCCTTTATATCAGTAATTATATATAAGTATAGGTACCCTTCAAAAAACTAACATAGATAGATGTCAAAAAAACCTTCGTAGATCATTTTCCTAGGAAAGTTACATGTTTTCCACATAAATTTGTCAGTTTACCCCAGGGTAAATGATTGCCACAAGGCGTAAAGAAAAGGTGATTCTATTCTTGATTTCGCCCACTTATCCACCAGGCATTTGGGATGTTGGGAGCCTGGTTTGTCTTGGCATCAGTCTCTGACAACCATGGGCACCAGTGGGGTCCCCCTCGACAACCCTCTACAACAATGACTAATGGGAAGAGATATTCCGGTCATTGACATGTTGTCACAGAACTGGTTTTGTCTGAGGATAGGGTGCCCCTTCCAGTAAATCCATAGGATGAATCATCATTTTCCCCATGACATTGCCATTTTCAGATACACCCAACTATCTATATCTATCTCTATATCTGTATCTATCTCTATATCTATCTGTATAATTATCTATATATATCTATATCTATCTATCTCTCTCTATGTCTATAATATATATATGTATATTGCTGGTGCTTCACCCAAATCATCCCCATCACTTCCCCAAAGCTACCAGGCACCGGTCCCTCCTTGGCCGCCGTTGGCTCACCGGGTGCATTTCAAGGAGGGCGCCATGGACGGCTGGCCAAAGCCCGTGGCGTGCGCCGCGCTGGCCACGGTTCTGGCGTCCAGCGGCGATCACTTGGCCGCGCAGGGGAAAGTTCCAGGGCTCACCGAGGCCGATGACGGTGGAAGAAATCCTGCACCACCAAAAGGATGGTTGAAACCCTATAAATAAAGTTGATATAGATGGTTTATCCCATTATTTAATATTTTTTATAGGGTTTCAACTAGTGCACCCTATAAATCATGGGATATATATAATGGGATGTTTACCACCTATCAACTGGTGATAACCGGATTTTGCAACCATCCACAGTATGGAGGTTTCCATTTTTATGGGGGGATCCCCAGCTGGATGGTTTATTTCATGGAAATTCCATCTATAAATGGGTTTATTTATGGGGTATCCCCATTTCAGGAAACCTCCATATGAATCCATATGATATAAACATATCAAAACAGATTTACATTCAAAGGATTTTCATGAGTTCTATCAGTTGTATCTCTGAAACCATCCCGAATGTATGAACAGATGCTTGGTACCTGGGATTTCCTGGGTACCTAATGTACAACTAATCATTTTATTGGAATCCTATATTATATGTATAGGCTACGTGGATGTTGCTGACCGGTAATCATTTCAGCAACCCAGAAGTGGCAGCTCATTTGCTGTACACAAAGAAAACGTCCATCTTTCACAGTACCAGCATGCACTACATCCCTATAATAAATCCATGTATGAAATGTATCGAAAATCATTTTGCCCCAGAACTTGATCCTTTCAACCAACATCCCAGTTTTCTCGCCATTCTTCCCCTGGATTTTTTGGGTCAGCTTCGGTGCCCGACTCCCGCGGAAGGCACAAACAGGTCTTCGAACCTTCGCCTTGGTCGCCCTGTCCCGTGCCGCCTGGGACGTGCTCCGAAGACGATGGCAGGGGACGCCGGGAGCGCCCCAAGAGAGCTGCCCCAGGAAATTGCAGGTGCCACGGTGCCATCGGAGGGTTCCAGAAGAGAACTGCTGTGATCCCTTGCAGGGTGGGATGGTTGTGGATTGTTTGGAAGGGTCTTTAAGATGTTTTTAGACATACTGGATGTCTGCAATTCTGTGCGTATATGTATATATATATATGTGTGTCTATATATATATAAATATTTATTATGTATATATATATATATAAATGATCAATTTTGAAATTTAGATATAGTATATTACTCATATGTGTTTTCAAGATGACATAGCCATACACATCCGCAGTCTATAGAAATTTCATGAATTTTCTATTGTTTCAAGGCCATTCACACCGACCACGGTTACAGGTCGAGCTCGAGGCGTCCCATGAGGAGTTACAGATGGCGAAATCCGAGTTGGAAGCGGCACAGCTCAAGATGGAGCACACTGAGGCCGGCTGAGGGCCGCCAGGCTTGAAACCGTAGATTGATAGGGATATTTATGGGATATTCATGGTGTAAATAAATAGATAGATAGATAGATAGATATATATATAATATACATAATATTATCTATCGATTTTAAGCAAAAAAGATTTTTAGCAGGAAGAAATGTAGAATGTAAACGTCAAGATAGATATGGCTGGATCAGTTGATATAAATTATAACGACCTCACGTCGCGACGACACTGGAAATGATGGATTGATATAACTATCCGAAAATGGACCCAATTCACGTTAATTCAGGTTGGTGAATTATGGTAATTTAGAGTTATTCTCATTATGTGGCAGGTTTCTGACACCAGACATTGGATGACCTTGGCAAGATTATATTACAGTAGTATAGACGCTAGTTTGTTTGTCATGTCTGGCTATGAACTACATCCAAGACATGAATTCCTATTGGAACACATCTCAGTTTTCAAGATCATCAGCGAAGATTAAATGATGTCTCAACCCTAAACCATCCTAAACCTTCCCTCCAGATCCCTCCAGCCCATATTTCATCATATTTCCACGGCTTTTCATGGAGTTTCACCGGTCAACTCCATGGCTTTCCTGGAAAATCTGCTCCCAGGCGCGTCTGAAGCGCTCCGAGACGCTCCGGCAGCAGCTGCAGGGCAGCTTCACTCAGGTGCTGTACCGCCTGGACTCCACGGAACGGAAGGAGTCCAAGCTCCACCAGGCGGGGATGGGGGGATGGGGCGATCTATCCCCGAGCTATGGCCAATTTTAGGAGGAACATGATGATCAAATTGTAATAAGATGTGAGTTATAAAGATGTGTTCTTGTTTTTTTTGGTCATTTTGGTGGTGGAACAGAGGTTTTGGTGAGGAAAAATGGGGGGACTTGGAAGGGAAAGAGGGTTTTGAAAGGAAAGCGGGGAGGAGACAATCTGGATTTTGCCAGCAAAAAATATGGTTGAACCCAACAACAGCATGAACACATGAATCTCTGAGGAAAAGCAAAGATCTGGTCACGCTTCCCACCGCACATGATATCTTGCCAGCGCAGATGGGCGTTTGAGCGGCAAGAACGTGGATTGAATCAACTGAAATTTTGGGAGTTCACCAACAAAACCAAATGAAGCCAATAACGCAGGAGAAACGACGAGAATCGAACTCAAACCATGAAAAAAAATCAGACCCATCAATTTACCCCAAGCTCCCTTTGTGGTTCGGAGCCTCTAAAAACATCTGCCCCCGGTCCATCTCCGCTGCAGGAGATCCTTTGCATCATGACCGTCGCCACCGGAGACGAGGGTGCCTCTTCCACTGCTGAGGCTCCACAGGGCTTGGCGCCCAGCACACCGGCATCTTCGCAGCCCAGTGATGTGGAGCTGGAGTCTGGGGAGGAATGGCTGGAAGGAAAAACGGACATAACTGTAGATGATACTGTAACTATGCATAGTTTTATTCTATAACTATGGAGGATAATTAACTCTATATATATATATAGAAACCAATAGTTTAACAGTCATCCCATATTTGGAGATTGTGTATTAGTTCGCCAAGATGTTTGGAAAAGGGCTCAAGAGTCAAGGTCAATTTTTGAGCATTTTCAGCACGTACATTACTTGAGAGGCTTAAGTTTAAGCCATACTTCTGTTGCTTTTGCAGTGCGTTCTGAACACCTGGTGGTGAACTGGTGGATGGGGTTAATCCCTGGAGGAACAGTTGGAGGAAATGGATGAAGCTGATGAGGCGGATGAGGTGGATGAGGTGGAGGAACCTGCATCCAAGGATGACATAGAAGCCGATGACGCCGTGGAGCTGCTGGAACCATCTGAGGTGCCCAGATCCAAGCGTTCCAGAGAGGCGGAAGCGGAGCCATCCAAAGTGGAGCCCTTCCAGGCCCTGGACGCTCCCAAGGCTCCCGAGGCTTCCGAGCCTCGACCTCCGGCGGACAGAGAAGTCCTGGAGGCAGAGCCCAAGTCCAAGCGCCGGCGTCGGAGCAGCTCGGAGTGTGGGGTCCATCTGGTGATCCGCAGGAGTCTGTAGCTGTCATCCGCCGTTCCTGGGGGCCACAGGCCGAACCACCTGTGCTGCGTGGGAAAATGGGAAGGCTGATGGAGGGGAACTCGCCAGAAAGTGGGCAGGTGAGAATTGGGTATTTCATGGCAGAACCCAATGTTTGAGGAGAAGGAGAGTAGCGATTAAATTCTCCAATAGACCTGGCCAACCCGAAACGGTTACCATCTCCACTAACAATCTCCAACAGCAATTCGCAGCCCTTGGATTTCTGTGGTGTAAACCTGGTGACTTCAAATTTCTATCCCCTTTCCGTTTTGGACCGGTGCGGTCGAGCCTCGGGTGAAATCAATCAGCAGCCAGCAAGCATAAGGATCCCCGATGGACATGTGAGTTGCCTATTGGAATAGCAGGGTCCTCCACTTATCTATCTAATCTGGTGGACATGTAAAACATGTACATGTAAACATATACCATACACTTGTGTAGGACACCCCAGTAGCAAGTTGTTTTACGTTCACAACTGCAGATTAATCTCTATAGCAGAAATTCATAAAAATCACAGTTGGACATTAGCATTAGTCAAATCAACAGAAGCCGATCTGGCTAAACATCCAGTTTTGGTGAACTCCTATGAACTTTCCATTGGCTGGTAACCCCCTCATTTGGCTGAGGTTGGGCCTCCTTCGGCCTCTGGGCCCCCCCTGCCTTGATTGGTTGATGTCAGTGGGGCTGCTGAAACATCTGAAACGCACGAGTTCATCAATAACAAGGATGGTTGAGCACAGAAAATCTATGGGGAATTGTGTGGGGATATCATGGAAGTTCAGTTGGAACCAAGTTTGGTGACGTCGGTTCTGAACCTGAGTGATTATCGCAATCTTTGAGACGATGATCGCGACGTTTGTTGGGATCTTTGAACTGGTTCAGTAGACCCGATTCCGATCTTGACCCCTTGACCCCAGTGGTAAATACAGCAAACTTGTTTCTAAAATATAGTCGCCAATCTGATATGGGCGTGTCTGAAAAATGAGGCATGCTACTCAGTTCATTGCAAGTTTAATAGGGAAAGTGATGATTAATCTGTGGATGTGGATTTTGTTTTTTTCCGTTTTTTCCCTTAATTTTCAGGCAAAAACCATACCACCGATATCATGACACCCAACGGGTATCATCTTCTTCAACCACCATAAAGAGGTGATGTAAAGCAGCGGGACATTGGCTTACGTCTAGCGGGTGATCCAGGTAACATCTTCAAGCATCTAATTAGCAAAGGATATCTTTGGAACTGCTGGGTATAGCTTGCTATGGTTGGTCAAAGATATTATAAGATCACTAGCCGTGAGTAGAGCAACCATCTCATAATGTGGCAAACACCCTCAATCATGGATGGTTCATTATTGGTTTGCCCAGAACGCACCACTTTCCATCGAATGAGTGAGGTTCATCCCTGGAAAAGCATCTTTTCATTCCTGTGCTTTCTGACCTCCGCAGTTACTTTCTCGGCTTGGGCTCCAAAGGAATGAGCTCCGAAGCTGAAAGTGACTGGCAACCATGGAAACATGGGGACATGTGCAGCTTAACAGTATCTAGCAACTTCACGTTTGGCTTGAAGTAGCAAAACCATGCAAAACGAAGAACATATGGAGTATGCAGTAAATATACAGTATTTTTCGCCAAGGATGAGATGTAGAAGCCAACCAAAATCGGCAACCTCCGGATCTTGTCAAAGTGCCAAAGCCCCCTCCCGCAAGGGCGGTTGTCCTTAAACATGGGCTACTCTTACGATGATTTCCAATGGTTTCATCATCGTTGTCATTGAAATTGCAACTAGACATGGATGGGCATAAGTTTGCACCATTTTCATCCATTTTCGAGATCAACGACTCCAAGATACAACCAGGTCACTTGTACTCAACATTGGCGAACTTACCAGAAGTTTGCCCCGCTTTTGGATGAACTGCGAAAAACAATGGCCTGGCACCTGGTTTTTTAGATGTGAGGAGGAAGGTAACAAGACTGGGTTCCACCAACTGGTTGGATGCTTGAGTACTACGAATCTGATTGTACCTCATGTCAATGATTGTCAATGATTGTCAATGGGAATGTAAAATTATACTAACCAGCTAAAAATAGATACCAGTAGGTTGGGTCTTGAAGATTGGCATTATTTGGTGATATGTATCTTGGTTATTTCAATCACGACCTCGCAAGGAGTTTTTGACTACACACGATGGATGGTGGAGGGGACACTACCAGGATGGAAATCTGTCAGGTCTTGTGGAATGGGGAAAATCGAGAATTTTTGACAAAAATGACCCGGCAACTCCGGAAACTCAAGACTTAAATCATCTCAAATCCTAGCTTTGGCGAACAGGAGTCCAGAAAAAGGTACGGGCAGGGTCCCGGAGTCCCTGAGAATGGCTCAATGAACACTCGAAGCTCGCCCCAGCTTGATTTGCTCAGGCCGATGGCTTGCCATCTCAAACCCTCCAGCTTTCGGTGCTGATGCTGTCGCTGGTCTGATCTCTTCAGGGGGATCACCCAAGGATGGTCCTCCAGCTCCAACTCTGAGGCTGGGCAGCATGCTCTTTGGCCTGCTGACAGTGGGCTATGCCAAGGGATTCAAGTTCTGCTGGCAAAGTCCAGAGGCCGGGATTAAAACATTGGTGCGTATACCATTTGCTAATCATCCAGAAAGATGATTTTCCCATTTTTAGACATCCGTTGAACGATTGGGTTTTCCAGCTAGCCAGGTTTGATAAAACCAGAGGCTACTTGAAGTTTTTCGACCCCTAAGAACCGTTTGAGCGTCGCTGAAGATGTTCCCCTTCATATGGCCTTACCGTTGCAGGAAGCGGTGTGTCTAGGCCGCAGAGATGGTGCAACCCCAATTTCAAAGTCACCAGTAGATCTGAAGAATTTCACCGTGTCCCATACGATTTCTCGTGGGGGTTCAGCTGGATTGGTAATGTTGGCCTTCCTGGCTGGGTAGCTGAACGTTGTCCGGCAAACATGGCACATCCAGCCGGGTTAGATTGCGGGAGGGTAGCCATCATTGATCATCATTGGTTCTTTCTGCATTAATTACATAAGATTCCCCAAATCTCATCCCATACTTGCACTGGCACCATTGGTTATTTTCCCGATTAAACTTGCTATTTTCGGGGTGTACCAGCATATCCCATTTTCAGATGCATCCATATTTTCATTTTGGACATAAACACATATAATATTATATAATATAATGTATATAGTTTTCAAACAAACCCACATGTATTATACAAGTGTTGATCTTGTTCGATTATATTCCAATTCTGAACTAGTTATTATATCCATATTATATCCCATTCTGGTTGGTTGAACCCCCCATGTTTCTTGCAGTAGATTCCCCAACGAAATGACTGGCATCTCCCACATCCCCACCATGGAAATCATTGCGCAGACGACCAAGGTTTTACTTCGTGGCTGGTATTTTTGGCGGCTTTGTCCTGCTTGAAATCCTGGCCGCCCGGAGCTAAGCCTGGGTCGCCATCAGACATTATCAGACTTGGTGGATGTATAGATTTATGTCAAATTCCACCTTCGAGCCACCTCACTTTGGTGGCGGATTTTCTCTCTGTTTTCGCGTTTCTTCACGGGTTTTTTGATCGGCTTTTCACCTGTTTCAGGGGTAGCCGGGTAGCGCATCATGTGGGTGCACAGTTCCCCAGGCACTGATGGTGTCATTGGATCTTGTCCCAGACCTGGGGCCTCCCGAGATTTACGAGTTGGTGCGCGGAGGGAGGAGGATGTGGATGTAAGATGATCTAAGGGGGTGGGGATGAACCGCCTTCATCCCCAAGAATTTTGCATTTTAGATCCACAGCACCTCACCATACTGTTGCGCCCCGCCGCACCACAGCACTGCCCCCCTTTTTGTACCAGCCCACCGTACCCTTTCTCAAACACCTGCCAGAGCAGCACCTTTGAGTTTAGATAAGATGTGTGTGTATATGTATATATATATACTTAGATGTAACATAGACCCGGGCAAGCCGGCGGCGGAAGTTTCCCAAACATAAATGACCTATAGTTCAAAGACAACCTGTCCCGACCGTGTCCTTCCCTCGACACTCCACACCTCACACTGCACACTGCACTCTTCGCACTCCAAACTTCACACTCCACACTTCACACTCCACACTTCTCACTTCTCACTTCTCACTGCTTCCTTCTCACTCCAAACCTCACACTTCACACTTCACACTTCACACTGCACACTTCACACTTCACAGTCCACACTTCACACTTCACACTTCACAGTCCACACTTCACACTTCACACTTCACACTTCACAGTCCACACTTCTCACTTCGCACTTCACACTTCACACTTCACACTCCACATTTCACACTTCTCACTTCACACTTCTCACTTCTCACTGCTTCCTTCACACTCCAAACTTCTCACTTCGCACTTCACACTCCACACTTCACAGTCCACACTTCACACTTCTCACTTCTCACTGCTTCCTTCCCACTCCAAACTTCACACTCCAAAACTCACACTTCACACTTCTCACTTTGCACTTCGCACTCCACACTTCACTCACACTTCACACTTCACAGTCCACACTTCACACTTCTCACTGCTTCCTTCACACTCCAAACCTCACACTTCACACTTCACACTTCACGCTGCGCTCTTCGCACTTCACACTTCACAGTCCACACTTCACACTTCTTCACTTCACACTTCCCACTTCTCACTGCTTCCTTCACACTCCAAACTTCACACTTCTCACTTCGCACTTCACACTCCACACTTCACAGTCCACACTTCACACTTCTCACTTCTCACTGCTTCCTTCCCACTCCAAACTTCACACTCCAAACTTCACACTTCTCACTTCGCACTTCCCACTCCACACTTCACTCACACTTCACACTTCACAGTCCACACTTCACACTTCTCACTGCTTCCTTCACACTCCAAACCTCACACTTCACACTTCACACTTCACACTGCGCTCTTCGCACTCCAAACTGAAACTTCACACTCCACACTTCACACATCTCACTTCCCACTGCTTCCTTCACACTGCACACTTCACACTGCACTCTTCACGCCCCACACTTCACACTGCTCTAAACCTACGTGCAACAAAAAAACACTAGCGCCAAAATGGAGGAAATCTGCTAACAAATCCATGTCGCAGCCTTCATGCAGCCACCCCAAGACGATGTACGAGATCCAGCTGCAAAAGACATTACGCATGCAGCCAAAGCAAGAAGCAACCTTGACGCAGCCATTCCAATGCGATCTGCGGAGACTGAGTTGCAAAACACAAGAGAACTACGCGCAATGGCATCGGAAATTGTAGCTCCAAAACCGGATCTCGACGCCAGAGCGAAAAAAAGACGATTTTGAAGCACTTTTTAAAAGGATTTTAGAAGGAAAATCACTAGCGCCAAAATGGAGAAAATCTGCTGACAAATCACTGTCGCAGCCTTCATACAGCCACTCCAATACGATTTACGAAGTCCAGCTGCAAAAGACAATAGTATTACGCATGCAGCCACAGCATGAAGCAACCTTGACGCAGCCATTACAATGCGATCTGCAGAGACTGAGTTGCAAAACACAATAGAACTACGCGCAACGGCGTCGGAAATTGTAGCTCCAAAACCGGAGATCTCGACGCCAGAGCGAAAAAAAGACGATTTTGAAGCACTTTTTGAAATGATTTTTAGAAGGAAAATCATTAGCGCCAAAATGGAGAAAATCTGCTGACAAATCACTGTGGCAGCCTTCATGCAGCCACTCCAATACGATTTACGAAGTCCAGCTGCAAAAGACAATAGTAGTACGAATGCAGCCACAGCACGAAGCAACCTTGACGCAGCCATTTACACTGCGGGAACGATCCTACAGTTGCAAATCACAATGGAATTCTGTCGACCACACATGCACGAAACACAGTTGAAACCCCATTTACAATGCGGAACCGATCCGAGACCAATCCGAGAATGATCCGAGACCGATCCGACCACACACGAGACCGTCTCGCAACCGTCGCACCGCAGAGGTAGATCATCGAGGTTCGGGGACGGACTTTGTATGGAAAAACATAGGCTTTCGTGCATCTGCTATCTCTCCAAAACGCATTTCGTGCGAGACTTCCTCCAAAACTCCATCGGCAACTCCTCCACCAGCACCACTTGCAATCCCATTTGCAGTGAGGGAACGATCCTAGAGTTGCAAATCACAATGGAATTCCATCGGCAACTCATCCACCAGCACCACTTGCAACCCCGTTTACAATGCGGGAACGATCCTACAGTTGCAAATCACAATGGAATTCTGTCGACCACACATGCACGAAAAACTGTTGACAACCCCATTTACAATGCGGAACCGATCCGACCATATCCGAACATGATCCGAACATGATCCGACCACACACGAGACCGTCTCGCACCCGTCGCACAGCAGAGGTAGATCATCGAGGTTCGGGGACGGACTTTGTATGGAAAAACATAAGCTTTCGTGCATCTGCTATCTCTCAAAAACGCATTTCGTGCGAGACTTCCTCCAAAACTCCATCGGCAACTCCTCCACCAGCATTACTTGCAATCCCATTTACAGTGAGGGAACGATCCTAGAGTTGCAAATCACAATGGAATTCTATCGGCAACTCATCCACCAGCACCACTTGCAACCCCATTTACAATGCGGGAACGATCCTACAGTTGCAAATCACAATGGAATTCTGTCGACCGCACATGCACGAAAAACTGTTGACACCCCATTTACAATGCGGAACCGATCCGACCATATCCGCCCATGATCCGAGCATGATCCGACCACACACGAGACCGTCTCGCAACCGTCGCACCGCAGAGGTAGATCATCGAGGTTCGGGGACGGACTTTGTATGGAAAAACATAGGATTTCGTGCATCTGCTATCTCTCAAAAACGCATTTCGTGCGAGACTTCCTTCAAAACTCCATCGGCAACTCCTCCACCAGCACCACTTGCAATGCCATTTACAGTGAGGGAACAATTTCTTTGCTAACTCTTTCTGTGACTAACTCTTTTCCTCACCAACTCTTTCTTTGACTACCTTGTTTCTTTGCTAACTCTTTCTTTGACTACCTCATATATCCTGACTAACTCTTTCTTTGACTAACTCTTTCCCTCACTAACTCTTTCTTTGACTGACTCTTTCCCTCACTAACTCTTTCTTTGACTAACTCTTTCCCTGACTAACTCTTTCTTTGACTAACTCTTTCCCTGACTAACTGTTTCTTTGCTAAATCTTTCTTTGACTAACTCTTTCCCTCACTAACTCTTTCTTTGACTAACTCTTTCTTTGACTAACTCTTTCCCTGACTAACTGTTTCTTTGATAACTCTTTCTTTGACTAACTGTTTCTTTGCTAACTCTTTCCCTCACTAACTCTTTCTTTGACTAACTCTTTCCCTGACTAACTCTTTCTTTGACTAACTCTTTCCCTGACTAACTGTTTCTTTGACTAACTCTTTCTTTGACAAACTCTTTCCCTGACTAACTCTTTCTTTGACTAACTCTTTCCCTGACTAACTGTTTCTTTGCTAACTCTTTCTTTGACTAACTCTTTCCCTCACTAACTCTTTCTTTGACTACTAACTCTTTCCCTGACGAACTCTTTCTTTGCTAACTCTTTCTTTGACTAACTCTTTCCCTCACTAACTCTTTCTTTGCTAACTCTTTCTTTGACTAACTCTTTCCCTCACTAACTCTTTCTTTGACTAACTCTTTCCCTGACTACTAACTCTTTCTTTGACTAACTCTTTCTTTGACTAACTCTTTCCCTCACTAACTCTTTCTTTGACTAACTCTTTCCCTGACTTGACTAACTCTTTCTTTGACTAACTCTTTCCCTGACTTGCTAACTCTTTCTTTGACTAACTCTTTCCCTCACTAACTCTTTCTTTGACTAACTCTTTCCCTGACTAACTGTTTCTTTGCTAACTCTTTCTTTGACTAACTCTTTCCCTGACTAACTCTTGCTTTGACTAACTCTTTCCCTGACTAACTGTTTCTTTGCTAACTCTTTCCCTCACTAACTCTTTCTTTGACTAACTCTTTCCCTGACTAACTCTTTCTTTGACTAACTCTTTCCCTGACTAAAACTCTTTCTTTGACTAACTCTTTCCCTCACTAACTCTTTCTTTGACTAACTCTTTCCCTGACTAACTCTTTCTTTGACTAACTCTTTCCCTGACTAACTGTTTCTTTGCTAACTCTTTCTTTGACTAACTCTTTCCCTGACATTCTAAAAGTCCGTAACACGGAAGTTTCTCCCCCTAAACTTCCTTTGATAATATTCATCACATACCCCTGCCTACCAATGACCTTTGAGTCACGGGATGCAAATACGGATAGATCCACAAAAAAAAATATGGTTTATAGGGACCAAAAACGAACAGCTCCACTGTACCAGAGTTTATTGGGGGGAAACTCATGGACACCCGGCACCCAGCTTTTACCCTCTGGTAATTTAACGTAGCTATGGAAAATCACCATTTTTGCTGGGAAAACACTATAAATGGCCATTTTCAATAGCTATGTTAAATTACCAGAGGGTACCTCTGTATTTGAGGGTAAGAAACCGTGGCTTCCTGTTCTTCGCCAGGCTTTAGGCCTGGCTGTGATGGCCGGTCTGGGCTATGCCAAGGTGCGCAGTGGCTTCAGGGTGGGGCCCGATTTTTCGGGGGATTTAAATAGCTAAGTTGGGTTTATGATTAAATTAGGTTACCTTATGATTGGGTTAGGTCTGGTTTATTGGAGATATAGCTATTCTATAGACAGAGGGATTTCTACAATTGTCTACAATACTTATATCTGGGTGGCGGTGCCAATCTTAAGAGTGATTTATCACGATTTAGGGGGCAACCACCCCAATTGATAGTCAGAGTCTAATTAATCCGGGGTTGGCATTCTGGAAATCAACAAGAGACTGCGAGATATTCTACTTCGGGATGGGTGTAGATATAATATCTAGTTATAGCATGTTTTAACGACCGGATTGTCCCTTGATATGGCCTACATAGTCAGCAAGGGAGAAAACCCAAAGACCACCACTATACCAACTTCAGGCGACGTCTCCTTGGACTTCGCAGGATGGCAGCCATTTTGGTTGGTCTCGCCCCGCAGTCGCCAGTCGCCATGGTACGAACTGAGCTGCCAACGTTGCTGCTGTTTCTGGTGCCAGCATGGGGCCATTCCTACTTGGCCCTTCCTGCCTCGCGGAATCTACTGGCAAACCTGGCTCCTTGCTTCAGTCATCTTCGGTCCATCAAGATGGTTGTGTCTGAGAATGCAGGATGCCATAGGATGCCTATAAATGGCAATTTTTGTGGTTTGATGTGGAACATGATGAACCGCGGGACTTGGGCATGCACAATTTTCAACCATCCCAATTCTGTTGCTGCCGCAGAGAATGAGAATCTGGGGTCACTGCCAAGTGATATGCATGCGCTTAGGCTAGGGCCGTGCTACCTAGGCTGGACGGGAGGATTGTCCGCATTGCCTGCAGTCAGGCGGTCCTGACAATGTCAAGGAAAGGGGCTCAGCTGTGGCTTGGCCGAGGACCGATCCACTTGAGTCCAACTATGGAAAACCCTCTGGTTATGTCAAACATAGCTATTGAAAATGGCCATTGAAATAGTGAGTTTTCCCATAAAAAATGGTGATTTTCCATAGTTATGTTAGTTTACCAGAGGGTATCTACAGTATCTATTCTTATATATAATATATATATATCTATCTATCTATCTGGGTAAATTATAACGACCTCACTGCGACCTCACTGGAATCATGGTTAGTAAGGGAAATCATCTTCAAATGGCCTTAATTCAGGTTAGTGAAATATTATAATTTACCCAGATATATGTACAATGTGGAAAACCACCATAATGTCACCATCCCCAGCCATAATCAGTCATGGTAGCTTCATGGCATTGGGTTTCCCACACTATCAAAGAAATGTGGAATGTAGTTGATGTGGGTATCGCTTTTTCACGAGCCTGGTATCGCTGCGCCAGCTGACCCCCAGACCTGGTTCCAGGTAGCTTCGCTCCCAAATCCTCACTGGTTGAATGATTTGAATGATACATTTGAAGCAAACCGAAAAAAACATATCTTTTGGCTTATAATTGGCCATTAGCCACTGTTTTTCCAATGAAACTTCCCAGAGTATTTCGATAGATTTGGGTCATCAAACATCATCAAACCATGGTTCCTGTTCGAAAGTATTATTACTGTAACAAAAAAACACAGAAACTCAATGTTTGGACATACACTTGGGTCACAACCCCTAGTTTCCGCTCAAAAAGACAAGAAAACACATCCGCCAAGATCAATTGACCATGATTTCTCATAATGTGCCCTATATTTTCCCATATTTTCCACTATTTTCCCTTTGGGTTTTCCGGTTTTCCCCTCAAAAAGTCGCCCATCCATGGCCTCAGACCTGGCCCAGCCGCTTGGCTCCCACGTCGCATGGCCTTTGTGGTGATCCGGTACAAGGGAAGAGCACCCCAACCAGCTGGCAGGTTGTGGGGCATCCTGGGGTGGTACCTGGCATTTTGAGCATCAAAATGGGATCTGAACATATCTGAACCATCAAAAAATGGCATTTGAACAATCAAACCATGGGGGTTTGAACCATCAAATGGAGTTGAACATCGTTTTAATGGGTGAAGAACCACCAAAAAGATGACGCACATCATTTTATAGGAGTATGTTCATCGGATTTAACGGTTCGATACTTTTCGATCTTTTTCGGGCTGCTTTGGATTTATCTAGATCTATGATGAACTATAAAACTTATGACCTTTTGACTATGAAATACTATGAAAGTTACTTTGGCTTGTGACTATGAGTTGAATTTTGTTAGCCTATGGCAAGCTAGTGCAACCTAACATAGATAATTGGACACATGATTTGAACAGTTGCACTAAGAATGAGCGGGGTGCTGACCAATTTCCATTCGACAGGGGTTTGAAAGGACAGCGGGGAAAAGAAAATCTGGGGGCAGGGCGAATTGTAGCCTGAGACCCTGCTTCATTTCGGCACATCATGGTCAGTATCAAGTATCTTTTTTTTTTTGGGAACCCCGGTTGCACCATCACAACCTCAGCGGCCACTATTTTCTTGTTACTATACCACGGTTAGCCACCAGTTTCACTCCTTACCTGCAACTGTAAAAATCTCCGCGGCCCAGTGGTAGGATGAAACTTACCTGAAGAGCGGGCCCATCACTGCCACCTACCGTGCTGGGGAGATTGTGGAATTCCAGGCCCAACTGATCCGAGGTCTTTGACGGGCTTACGGATGACTCATCCGTTTCTGGCAAATTTGCTGGGGTAAGTTATGATATTTATATGATATTTATATATATTTATGATTCAGCCATCAAAGTTGATATTTATGATTCAGCCATCAAAGTTGATATTTATGATTCAGCCATCAAAGTTGATATTTATGATTCAGCCATCAAAGTTTGGGGTCTCAGTTCTCAGTTCTTTGATGCCTTCAAGCAGCTTGCAGGTTGCTGTCAGCACTCACCACTTGGGACACTACGAATTTCGCATTTGCGATCGGGTGCTGAATACGAGCACCGTGTCACTCGGTGTCGGACTTCGGACTTGGAGGCCTTGCAAAGTGCTGCCCAAATGGGAGGGTAACTAGGATCTTATGGTTGTAAAGCCCATTGGATTCGTATACATGTTCAAAACTTATCAAAAAATCAGAAGTAGCAGGGCCTATGTTACCAGCTTACTCTGAGTGACCTGGTCCCCAAAACTTAGGTCCACTTGGGGAGTTCTGGCTGACGGCTCAGGTCCTCTCCTGCTGAAGGCCAGCAATGCCTGGATCAGTGGCTGCTGCAGCGAGCGCCTCCACTGGAAAATTGCCAGGTGAACGACGCACGCGGCGACTGTCAGCCTTTGGATCCCAAGCATCCGGAACGCTGGTGGCTGGGCTGCACTTTGGTAATACCCTTGTGCATGCTGGACCATAATTCCTAGAACTAATTAACTAATTTCATTGTACCATTCATGGGTGTGTTAGAAAGATCTGCAAAATTGGGTTCGTTGTTTAGGGCTTACATGGGCTTGCTACATTTCTACATAATGTGGTGCCGTGGTGGTTGAAGAAAGGACGTTGAAGATATATGGCTTCCATTAGCTTCCCCTCCACAAAAACGGGGGGTCCTTGCCAAGATGGAGAACTGCAACAAAGTTGTAAGACGAATACAACATGAACTTTGAGTATATTACCGTAAATATTGTTAAGTGTGTGAATAAATATATATATATATTAATATATATAATATGTGTATAAGATATTGCGAGCACATATAAGTTTGTACACATACATTTGGTATTACACCACCAAAGGTAAGCCCAACATCCACACCACCAGGTTGGGGATTGCCTGGTCGCCCAGGTACCTACCACCTGCGGGAAGCCAGACCCCGGTGGCAGGCCCCAACTTTGATGATTCCATGGCGCCCAGCTATCCCAGCAGTGCTGAGGTGCATATCATGCGCTACAAACTGCCGGAGCCTGGGCCGTGCTTCGGGAAGGATTGGTGAACGCAGGTGAGTGGTTTTGGCAAAGGGAGGAATTGGTGGTACATATGGGAATATCAGGTAAATGGAAGGCCCGTACCATAAACAAATCCCGACACCCTAAAAGTGTCTCACCTCACAATGCTTTGCCAAATCCCAACTCGTCATATTGTCATTCCTCAACCCCCTCCATGTCCGGGCCTGACCTTAGCTCTCAGCCTTCAGGAAGGTCTGTCCTGTAGTGCTTGCACGCTCCAGTGGTACTGGTCATCTGGCAACAGCTGCGTGTACGATGGTGACTATTTCGACTACTACCGAGGCATCGAAAAGGGCTTAAACAGGTCACATGTTTGGTCGTTTCCACCCACTCGTTTGTCGTTGTGGGGTGTGGTGTGGTGGCCATATTCATTGTTCTGCATGAACAGATACGCGTGAAAATTACTGGAAAAGGCTGCAATCCCGTCTTTCCAGAAAAGGCCCACTAATCTCAATATATCTCAATATACTATCAATGCGGGCCAAGAACCCTATTTTTCTTTTCTTCCATGGAGAAAACATGAGAAAACTGGGGTCAAAGATGAAACCCTACCACTAACTGCTGCTTCACATCCGCATCATGCCGTTGAACAGATGAGCAGAGTTTTTTTTTACAAGTAAAGATTTATATGAAAGTTGACCTGCACATGGTTGGATGTAGGCAGTTTGCTGGGGTGCGTAGGCTGGCGTAGGCATATGTTGCTTCATTTTGCGGCAGACGCTGCGTAGGCGACCGCGGATTCGACGAATTTTGCAGCCTGTGGGTCAAGATTGAGGGGTCTAATGAGTGTAGCTCGATGCGGCATGTGAAATTTCCGCTGTCCAAAAAACACAAGTAATTAGAAGATAGCAACTGTTTTGCTGAGAAACAAAAAAGCTAAGGAACTATTCCGTTCCCTTTTCTGCAGAGTCTCAAGCCTCGAAGTTTGCATGGCCAAAATCCGAAAATAAAGCAGCTCCCCCGCGTAGGCACCGCGTAGGCGAAAAGTAGGCGACGCGTAGGCGAAAACTCTCATGACCAGGGAAGCCCCCAAACATGCTCCTGCAACGTACAGTATAATATTATATGTTGTTTCCCTGCTGCCAAGAAGCGACGGCAGAACCAGCGTCTTACACCTGCGGAATCATTTTTTTTCTTTTACTTTTCTCCTTCTTCTTCTTCTTCAAGTTCCTCTTCCTCCTCTTCGTTTGAGTCATCTGCGGACTGGAAAAAAAACGTGCGCTCAACGTGCTCGATGCATTTTTGGCGAAATAGGTAGTTGCCTAATGTCTTCTTACCATGTAACAACCAATGAATAAGCACATGGCCCTCTTCCTCCTCATTGTTTTTAATGCGATCATTGGATCATGAACAGCTTTGTAAAAGGGTGCGCAATCATACGAAAATTTTGCTGAGACTGTGGGCGCGTAGGCATATTTAATTAAAAATTGCATAAAACCTCACGCGCGTAGGCCTGCGTAGGCAACCTATCCCCACCCAAGCTTCCGCGTAGGCTGAAATTGTGCGCGCGTACGCGAAATGTAAGCCTCGCGTAGATACCTATAAAATGATAACACCCTACATCAGAAAAAAAACACAACTCAGATGGAGTTCTCCTAACCTTTGGTCGATCGGTTAGGCGTTTGTTAGGCTAAGGCCCCAGCAAGATAGGAACAGCTTGGATCTATCATGATTCACTAACTTGTTACTGACATTTTACGTACTATATATATATATATCATATATCCCTGGTTGGTGGTTTGGAACATGAATTTTATTTGGAACATTTTTTATTTTCCCATATATTGGGAAGAAATCATAATCCCAACTGACGAAGTCATATTTTTCAGAGGGGTAGGTCAACATAGGTCAACCACCAACCAGATATCATATATCCTTTTTGGGGGGTTCCAATGGAGGTCATGCGACCGAAACAAGTCAACCGCTGGAGGTATCGCCTCTATGGGCTGGGATGCTAGCGCTTGGCAGCCGCAGATCCTGGCGAGCTGGGCCACATGCGATGCTTGGGGTACCATCAGCCAGGGAAAATTTTCGGAGAAAGTGGTGATTCATAGAATTGGATGATGGGAAAATTTACAGGAAAGCCCTATATTTGATGGTAAAAACATGTAAAAACCATGGTTTCCTGTAGATTTTCCCTTAAACCAACCCAATGAGTGATAAACCACTGGACATACTGAACTTAGGGGGTAGCAATTTTAGGCACCAAGTGGAATATTCCAGACACTCCAGGTGAGACACCAAGTTGTATGATCCCAATGATCCCAAAAAATGGGGAGAAAATGGGGAGAAAATGGGGAGCCAGGGAGCTACAATAATTAGAGTTTCCCACGTGGAGCTACAATCAGAGTCAGGAAGATCTTGGTGACTGATGGTTGTTGCAAAAGAATCATATGGTAAAAGATGTAGCACGAAAGTCTTGAAATGTTGGGGTGATAGAAAAACAAGTGGTACCAACAACATCGATTTTTGGATCATGTTGGTTGGTCGTGGTGTTTTGGAATGAGGATAGCTGGTAAGCCCAATCCCTTTTCCCAAACGGACCTCCTCCAGACTGTCCTACCCTGCAGAATCCAAAGGAAAACAGCTGCTGCAATCGTGACAAGTTTGGCGAAGAATTCTGGAACTGTGCCGATATAGCTATTTTACCCGGGGGGTCAACAGTATCCACGTCCACAATGTCAACAACGTCTACTGTGTCTTGGGTTGAGCTGATCTCAGAGCTTTCGATCGCCCGATAGTGACGACTTTGCCCTGGTCCGGATGCAGGTTTTGTGTGGCAGACATGGCATGACATGTCCATGTCTGGGATAGACTTTCTGAAGTGGTAGTTGCAAGTGACTAAGGCGGAAACAAGCAGCACAACGGCCACTACCACCATCATTACTGATGATGAGTGTCTTGAACTGAAATGGGTCCATCCAGAGTGGCATCTTCGATCCATTCACACGTGGACAAAATTGACATGTCTGAAAACCTCGGAAAACCCATTGTTCAGGACTTCGTCCAAAACGCGAGACAGATATTGAAAGATCAGGAACTGTGGCAACTACCTTCTGGTAATTTAACATAGCTATGGAAAGATCCACCATTTTTAATGGGAAAACTCACTATTTCTATGGCAATTTTCAATAGCTATGTTAGTTTACCAGAGGGTATATCCAATTAAAATCACCATTTTTGTTGGTTAAATCCCATTAAACCCACCATTTTTCCGATCTTTTCCACATCTCCATTGCTGCCATTGATGGTCCTATAGGTTTCGTCCCGTGGATGGCGGTGTGGGCCGCGCATGCCGGGGAGCGCATGCTGGAGATAACTTGGCCACGTATTTCACGGTGCCCATGGCCGGAGCGATTAGGAACCATGGTTATCTCATGTTATATCCATGGTTAATGATGGTTAACGATGGTTAATGATGGTTAATGATGGTTAATGGTGGTTAATGGTGGTTAATGATGATTATATCCATATAAACATCCATATAATCCATATGGGTTTGTCTGAAAATAGGGTATATTCCCAATGAAATAGCCATTTAATAGGGATAATGATCATTAACCATTGGGTTTAGGGGTACACTATTTTCAGACACACCCATATCTGAATAATTCTGGTTGGTGGTTTCAAACATGGCTTTTATTTTCCATAATATATATTAATATATGGGATGTCATCCTTCCCAACTGACTTTCATATTTTTCAAGATGGTTGAAGCCACCAACCAGTGAATATTCTTCTATCTTTCTTGGATGAGTTAAAACCAAATTTAGTGGAGAAATTGGCGATGACCCCCTGCAGTTGGGTGGTATACCAGACATGTCCAGACAAACCCAACTTTTTTAATTCCCCGCAAAAAATGGGGAGTCATGGAGTTACAAAAAAAAGTTTCCCAAACCACATGAATCCACATAGTGTATGATAGTATATGATAGTACTTTGTGATATTTTTGGGAAGTTATCGTAACATATCGTAACCATTTTGTTCTTTTCGACCCCCACGTGAGTCATAGCCATTTGCAACCCCAGGGCTTTAGGGTGAAGTGGCAGTTTCCCATCAGGTGTTGAATGGCATCAGCTCGTTGGAAGAGTGTAAGGAAAAATGCCTCCTGGCAGCGTTCCAGGTCCATCTCCCGGCTTGATGAAATCCTGGGTTTTGCCGATGAATCCTCGATCTAAAAGGGGTATATCAACATCCCCATTTGAGGCGACTTTTTTGTAACCTGGCGAACATCATTGTGAAACAGATATAAACAGATGTTGGCACCATCAAAATCTCATCTCCCTTCACAAATAAAAACACCCCATTCTATGGTCAAACAAATACAAGGTTTCATGGCCTACACTGGGCCTACACCATGGTTTGCTACACCATCGTTTCTGGGGGATGTTTACGGGCTGAACTCCCAAAGGGATGATTCGATGTATTGTGAATTATTTCAATGGATTGGTCGGAAAATCTAAACAGGAAAGCATCGATTTTCCCATCATTTGATGGGGGGTTTCCGGTTAAAACTTTCCCTTAAACCAATCCATTCCGGTAATGATCGATTAAAGTTCATCCATTGACATCCATTACCCTCTGGTAAACTAACATAGCCATGGAAAATCACCATTTTCAGTGGGTAAATCATGGTAAATCCACTATAAATGGCCATTTTCAATAGCTATGTTGACATAACCAGAGGCTAACTATAGTTATATCTACCATAAACCATCGATTTGGACCCGCCCAGGTCTCCAGTCGTCAGCTCCTCCCTGCGTGGGCATCGAGTATTCCAGGGGTCGCTGCGAGGTCTGGACCCGGCCTGCAGGGATCGGAACGTCCATCCCCCTGACCGGCCCCCTGGATGAGGTTTGGAGGTGTCCCTCTGGTTATGACGAACCGAAAGGGCGACATTTTTCAGCCATGGCCATAGAAATATATATATATATATAGTGAGTTTTCCCATGATATGAAAAATGCATGGTGATTTTCCTTGGGTTTTTCTGGTAAACGTTTACCAGAGGGTAAATGGATGGTTTATTTCATGGAAAATCCGACCAAAATGGGATGATAACCCCATGGTACCCCCATTTTGCCGGAAACCTCCATATATTTTCTGGGTAAAATTGATCACGACCTCACGTCGCGACCGAAACCTGGAATTATGGGCCCAATAATAAGAGGAATCATTTTGCAAATGGCCGCAAGATTCAGGTTAGTGAAATATTAGAATTTATCATATTTACCCAGATAAATGGGGGTACCCCAATAGCTGGATGGTTTCATGGAAAATAGATGATTTATTTGGGGGTACCCCCATGGCTTAGGACAGCCCCATTGAAATATATTTAGGATGGCAGTGGTCGGCTTCTGAAAGCTCCATTTCATACATCATATTTCTAAGAGTTGCAGAAACGATTGTCATGAAAATTGGATTGGTTGCAGGGACATAGAGGGAACGTGCTTAAAATCATTTAATTTACAGAAACCACGGAGATTCTGGACACTAACCACTTCCCCCTTAAGAAGTTTGATCAGCGGTTTTTTTCTCGGATGTCACTGAATCCCTTCAACGGTCACATTATTAAGTGATGGAACACCTTTGACGAATTGATGAACCTAGTCATAGCAATAGGATCTAGGGAACATGAAGATACTTGGAACATCTTGGAACACTGTTGAATTCTTTGGGGGCTGCCCATACAGGATAGTGCCCCACCAGTTATAAGTTGATTTACAAACACCATGAATAGTATACTGATACAGTATACTTATCTACATTTATCTACCATAAACCATAGAATTCAGCCATAGCCATATCTCAACTGAACGCTATCGAACGGGGCTATCAATACGTGCCAGTTCCCTTCGATTTTCATCAAGGCTTCACCTGTCTGCGCTACGGTGCCGAGCCCACAACAACCACAAGCCCCGCTGTGCCTGGCAGCTTTGAGCCAGTGGATGGTGGTGACTCGAAGCTGGCACTTTCTTTCGGTGAGCCATTCATATGTGCATTTAAGGAATCCCACTCATGGAATATATATGTATATAAATCTAAATAAATAAATACACGCACACACACACAATCACACACACATATATATATATTATATTGAATCTAATATCAGGCAGGGCCGAGAAGTATCGAACTCATGAGGAATTATCATGATTTATCCATATCCGAAATTGTGATACCATATACATTTTTTTCTCGAAGATATTTGTGTGAGTGCTGAGTGTGTGACAGATTTTATCGACATCCATGGCATCTGATGAGATGATGAGTAAGAGCAACCACGTACTGTATTTCAGCTTGATGACTTATTCAGGTTGGCAAGCTGACGTAGCCAGACGGGAGAAGCGAGGGTGCAAGATTAGATCATTCCGAAACAGCTTTCATTTCTTTCTCAGAATGTTGTACTGTATTCTTGGCTGAGCCTTCCTATCATATACCCTCTGGTAAACTAACATAGCTATGGAAAATCACCATTTGTAATGGGAAAACTCATTATAAATGGCCATTTTCAATAGTTATGTTAGTTTACCAGAGGGTAAAACATATTAAACATGATCAATCCTCATCCAAAATCGAAGCCATGTTTTTTCATGCTCGAATGTATGTCACAAGCAGCGCACTTTTCCTGGGGCCCCCAGGTGAGAATCGTGTTTGTCGAGGGGCGAATCCCAACGACAACAAGCCCGAGTACTACACGGTGCTTCAGGGGATTGGAACTTTGCAACTGTGCAAGGCTCAATGTGCAAGCACTGTAGCCCGGCAGGGTTTAGCCAAGGATCAAATCATAGGAATCCGAAAAATGATCCAACAAAGCGCCAGTGCTCGCTTTGTTTCAACAAGAATGAAGAAGTTGAGATAACTATCCAAGGATTGCGTGTCCGAATGTTTTACCTTACCATATACTCATTTGAAGATACCCAATATTTTGCTTTGAACTTTGAACTACAAGTTCCTAAAGTCTTGTTCTCAAACAACGGGCATCAGAAGAGCGGCCAACCAACCAAGTGCCAATTTGATTTCTGCAAAGGATTACATGTGTAGTTATCCAACAAAAGATGGAAAAGTATATAGAAGAGTCATTTTACATCGTTTTACAACAATTTTATTTGCATGTGACTTTTCTATCTGCCTGGGGTTGCTATTGATGTCATGACACCAAAAACAGCCAACAACAAGCATTCTTACCACTCCTAAAGTTGGACCTCAAAGCCCTCAGGAGGGCTGCGTGGGCATTGAGTTCAAAGGATCCAGATGCGAGGCCGCGGAGTGTGGGAAACCCGCTGTGAACACGGTGTTTTTCTGGCGGTTTTTCGGATGGTTTTTGGGAGGTCAAAATGACGTGTGCAACGTGAGGTGTGGACGCGTCCTCAAGGCATCGAAGCGTCGCGGAGTCTCAGTGGCTTTTGGTGCCTGCGATATAGTGCCATTTGGCGACAACGGTGGCATGGTCCACTGGAGGGTCAACATGTAATGTGGGATCAACCACGAATTTGGGAATGGTAAATGGATCCTATAAACATGGTGATGACTGGGGGGTTGTTTTGTGGCATTGTTTTACCCACAGAAAACGATGTGTTTTACCCACGGAAAACGATGAATGAGAGGGACAAAAAGGGATTCCGGTGATTCTTAGAGCTATGCCCCTGCCATGGGACCACTGCAGGCTCCATCCACCACCACAAGTAGGGAGGGCCTGACATGCATCTTGGCCAACAAGTTTCGCCGCTGTGATGTGGTGCATCTTCAGTATTCTTCAGTATGAACTTTATTAAAGTTTATTTCTGTGTGTTTACTGATTTGGGATGGCGGAATGTGAAACCTACTCCAGGATTTGAATGGAATGTGATCTCCACCGCACAATCCTCACAAGGATTGAGATGGGATCCCCAAAATCAGTACAGCTATGAGGCATCTGTAGTCATGGTGAATTCTCCATTGCCACTAGCTGTGAATTTGGAAATCAAAATTTCTCGAAAATTTCTCGAAAAAATCTCAGCACTTTGGAGTTCTCATAGAAAACCATCGGCTGTTGATTTCCCCTGTCGTCATGGGCGGCCATGGTCCCATGGTCTGTGGCCAGGTAGCCAGGCCTGGGGCGCCTGTGGTGGTCGCAACTGGGATGGTCCCAACTGCTGTGAGGAGGGCTACAGCTGCATCCCAGCGATTGAGCTGAAGAGTGGGACTGGGCAAGCCATAGAAAGATTCGCAGGAACCGCTTAGACATGTTGACTTTTGCATATATTATATATATAATATATTATATATATTACATATATATATATATATTATATAATATATATTATATATATATTATATATATATTATATTATATATATATATAATATATATATATTATATATATATATATTATATATATATATTATATATATATGACTTTATCACCACTTTAAAATATATGACTTTATCACCACTTTAGAACTGGATTTTAGTGAAATCAATCTATTTGATTCTATTTGCGGGTTGCTAGCAGGGACATCTTACAAGGTCTATCGGCCATATCTGCCTCTTTGAAGGGAACAACACAGGTTTTCCATGGTTTTCCATGGTTTTCCATGGTTTTCCATGGTTTTCCATGGTTTTCCATGGTTTTCCATGGTTTTCCATGGTTTTCCTGCATGTTTCCTTAAGTCATCCCAATGATTGTATTCTCATCCGCCTAACATGGAGCTGCAAATGGATGCAAATTGCATAAATCTGACCTCAGCAAACACAATCCTCAAACCGTAGCCAGAAATAAGGATTGCCACGCTTCCCATTGCTGTGTTTCGACGGATTACAGATTAAAGCCGGTCAGGCTGCTGTTTTTGAGTCGGGTTTCTTTGGGCGTTCGAATCAAAGCGGGTTGTTGTGCTTTGATTCTATATTGTTTGCAAGCCGTGCCACCACCTCCTCCCTGCACGCCCCCGCACAGACCACATGTGCTTTTCACGGGCTGTGAGGAAGCCATGGCTACCTCCTCCCCTAAACCTAAACCATACCTAAACTATTTTTTTTTTGTAAGCAGTGAGTCCAAAAAGGCTGGTTCTGGTCCTTGTGCTGCTGTTTCAGCTGGTTTTTATATAATTACAGTATGGCCATGGGCCATGGGTATTCATGCGTCAACATTGTAGCCGAAGAGTCCTATCTCCACCCTACTTGTAGTCATGAAAACCCTTCAGGAACCCGTGTCGAGTGATGGATTCTCATTTTGCGACCCCATACTTGGCCGCATATAGGGAATGCATTCTTGGGAGCGATGGGATATGATCCAGTTTTAGGTACCAAAGTTTGACCAAAAAACATGGTTTAACATGTCACCTCTGTCATGAGGTGCTTATTTTCAGTCCTTCAAGCGCAGCCCCAGCAGATATTAAATGATATTAAACATTCATCCGGAAGATCTACCCAGTTCTGCAACCACCCAGCCTCTAACTTTCCTAAGGAGAGCGAGTGGTACTCCCAGTGCCGTCCCGCTGAAAACACAGCAGCTCTGATGGAAATGCCTGGCTTGAAGCCACGTGCCTGGGCTGATTTGCTGGGTCAAGTTGATGGTTTCAACATGATTCCATTGTTTTGGTATGTTTTGATTGTTTTGGTCCTATATCCCTGTGATAGTGGTTGATGCAGGATTTTGGGATGTGCGAAAGTGCGAAACCTCTCACCAGTCTTCATTGATGTGGACATATTGTCCTACTAGACTGCGCCGGGTGGTGCACAAAAAGAGGCCCCCAGGATAGATGATTCGTGACATATTCGCCATAGTGATGCGCATATATAATCTTATATATATATGTGTGTGTGTGCGTGATACTATTTTTAATTCCGGTACATTCCATCATTGAGCCCAGTCATTGAAACACATGGGGTGACTCGGGTGACCTGGCAGGAACCTGGAAGCGCTTCCGTGGTACTACGATGCTTCAAGATGGATCCCTCCTGAGCCGCACGAAGGGCACGAGCAAGGATGAGCTCTGAGCCCGGGAGCCCAGTCCTTTCGGCCCATGGGAAGAGGGGGTGCGGATTTGATGGGTTTCACTTGTGGATTTTCACATATTTTCACAATGTCAGTGGCAAAAGCTGATCTGAAGTGGCAGGAAATGGGCCGGAAGAGTAACATCAGTTCAATGAAGTTCGTTGAAACTGAGCTCTTAGCAGTCTTCTTGAGCTCAAAGAACCGTGGACTTGAGGCATCTTGAGGCTTTCGCTACTAAAACAGATAATCAGAGAATCATGTTTGGCACCCCAAGTTTCCAAGAAACATCACCATCAGAGGATGACCGATGGTCGAAGTATGTCGAAGTGCAAGAAGGGCGTTGGGAGCACTACAGGCCCAGGGAATCCCAGGGGATCCCAGGGGATCAGTTGATGGCTTTGACTTGTTCGTTCTTTGCATGTCTAGGTCGTTTCAAGTTGACTGGCAAACACACTGAGATCTGCATGGATCTGCCATGAGTATGTATAGGTCGATGCCTGATATTTGCAATCACGGTGAGGATATGTGAAGATCAACTTGTAGACGAACGATCAAATCCTCAATTCATCTCAATTCCAAGTCTCTCCAACACTGTCAGGTGAGGAGGCGACGAGTTGCGCGCAAAGCTTCGTTCGCGCAGCCGTTTTGTGGGCCTCCCGCAACTGTAGAGCATGTGTGCCCCAGCCTTTAGGGTTTGAAGCTGAAACGAGCTTCAACACCAAGAGCATGCCTTTTGTGAAGCTCACGGGGGTGGTTTCTACAATGATTTCGTTTTTGTTTAATGCACAGTGTTTTCTTCGAATGATATGAATCATGCGTTTTGTTTGGCTGGTGCCATGCTTTTGGCATGGAAAGAAACCACTCAACTTCAATGTTTGTACAGTTTACAGTGCCTGTTGCAGTGTGAACCATGGCCAAAAGTGTGGCCTGCATTGGCAACAGGAGGGAATTAGACAACCGCACACAGCGAGACCGGCCATGCTTCGCGCAGAAGCCTATGATCTGGGTGACCCCCAACTTAACCGTTGCTGGAACCTTGGTTGGGAGGCCACATGATACCACAATTCAAAAAAGGGGACAAAAAATATAAAATGCAGACATAAGGTTGACCTTTCTGTGAAGGGCATACAAGATGAGCCATGATTAGCAGCCGTAAAAGGTTCCATGATTTTTTCGGTGTTTAAATTGGTTACCAAAAAGGCCCTGGGGGTGGAAGGCGCTGCAGAGATTCCCATCGGGGATCGTGGCCAGGAGCCATTCCATGGGAACATAATTAATTATAGTCATTACCCTCTGGTAAACGTTTACATAACTATGGAAAATTGCCAGTTATAGTGGATTTTCCCATTAAAAATGGTGATTTTCCATAGCTATGTTAGTTTACCAGAGGGTATTTCTCGTGGCTCGTGTTTTTTTCCAAACCAAGAAAGACTCGACACTGAGCTTTGAAATCACCGAAAGGCATCGTTTCTTTTGATGCCTTGAACTAGACCCGACATTTCATGTGTGTTGGTCTAGAATCAACAATATTGTTGATATGCCTTTGTAGAACCACCATCCTGTATCAGTTCTCTCACTAATCGCACGTTTCCTTCCAGATCACACATGTTGGCAAACAACCTGCGCATCATTTTGAACCGTTTGGTGTCCTTTTGTGATAGAATAAATGTGATCCAGCTTCCCAATGACCCAAGTAATTATGACCAACCGATGAATAGATCCAATGCCAAACCAGGGTGTGCCTGTTGTTGCGATGATTGGGAAAGGCACACGGACAAATAAGATTGACATAGATGTTCCCTGTGAATCAGCATGTGGTTGTCTCAAAATTTGGAACCCCATTCCACCCAATTGGTTTAGAGAACGAGTTTCGCCATGTTTTCATGGCAATTGAAACGGGCTTCATCCCATGAAGGTCCTCATCTTTGGCTGGTTCTGTCCTGATCTTTCTTGGTTGAATATCAATTGAATACCACATATCAATTGACATCAACTCCAGAATGAATCATCAACTAGTTTACGACTTGGGGGTACCATTTACAAAGGGACATATCATGAAATATCACTGTTTTGGGAACCTCCCATATGAATAAACTGGTGGTTTATATTGGTTCATTATATGATCCAGGGCCAACATGACGCTTTCAATCAACTCGCTCGAACAATCTGACCTGCAGGCACTTCACTCTTCCAGAGACGCTCGCAACGCGCCACTGCTGAGCTAGCTAGCTGACTCTGATAGTAAGCCGATTCTGGTGACATTTCCGCGTGTCTCTTTTTCTTGATAAGTTAGTGGATTGATGACAAGATATGCCAAGCATACCAAAATTCGTATCATTCTCCATCATGCTCCAATGAATGATGAATGTGTTTTTTTTTTAACTACCCCATGGTAAATAAAGAATCTCACAAACCAGCCAAGCAGCCATGACTGGAGCATATTAAATATGTATATATATAATATTATACCATATTATACCATATATTCGTATCATTCAATCATCCTACGTACCCAAACCACAGACTCCATTGGGACCGCGTTATTGCTTGGTTGAGATGCTCCGCAAGATCAACAGAATTATCGAACTCTTCGCTGCGGTGAAAGGACATCGTGGCAACACCAAACAGGATTGACCAGTATTGTTTTACCACAATTTAAACTCGGATTTTACATTTGTCTTTTTGGGGGTTGCTCTAAGTAATGGTGACGTGGCGTCAAACTCACGTGGTGACCTCACTGGAATTATGGTGAATCTTTTTTGGGGAATTACCATCTGGTTATGACTAACATAGCCATGGAAAATCACCATTTCTAATAGGTAAACCATCTATTTCTATGGGCCATCTATACCATGGCTATGTTAAATAACCAGAGGGTATCCCAATATGGATCAACATGGCCTTATTTCAGGTTAGTGAATTGTTAGAATTTACCCAGATGAATGACAGCAGATACATAATTCCAACAGCCGCAAAACTTTTACGGCAATTTTCTCAGCGACTTCCACCTGGCCCGGCTGATTTTGGGTGTCCTTTGGCTCAATCAACGTGCCAATGGTGAGGCTTTAGCAGCCCAGGATATTTTCAGAGTCAAGCACTCACATGACCCGGTGGACCGAAACCAGAAAACCTGAGAGAAATGGCTGCAGAGGCCTTATATTGACAGAAATGGCTTCAGGACAGATGAACAAAAAGCAGAAACCATTCTCGGCGACGAACAAGCTCACAAGCATTCCCGCCGTGACAGTAGCCGTGGATGTTGAGCCATGGCCAAGGAGCTGAAAGCAGGGTGGCTTCCGGGTAGCGCCAGTCTGACCCCGAAATGATTCAGACACCCTTTGGCCAACGGTCGGCCATTCTGGAATGATTTTGAAGCATGAGTTTGCATGATGAACCATGAAGTGAAGAATGACGTCCATTTCTCCATGAGTTTTTCCCTACTTATCCCTACTATACTGGTTGTTCCATGTCTGTTTCTTTTCTTCCATGATTTTACGAGTTTTTCGATGGGTTTTTCACATCGCTTTCCCGTCAGGCTTCCAGCCTGGCTTTCCGTTCTCACAGGAGTTGGTAGAGGAGCTGATCTATGCCAAACAGTTGGCCGGAGAAGACTTGTGGAGGCGCCCATGGGAATGAAAGGGATCCAAGGGGTCATGATGGGTCATGAGGATCTAGTCTCACCATGCAAAATTGGGAGTTCAGCCATAAATGTCATGAAACAATGGAGCTAGAAACCAAGAATCATGGGAATTTAACCATGTGAAATTTATGGTGATATAATGAGGGCAACAATCCGATTCAACCTTGGCCATGGGGATTTAATGGGGATATCATGGGGATGCGTGGAACTTCGTAAAAACGGCATTTGAATTGGGGTGGTTTCACCCGTTTGGTTAGAGAAAACATCGCCATCAAACACGGTACCGTTTCGCCATGTTTCGATGTTGGGGTTTACCCTGGGGGTTTCACCAAAGATGGTGGCAGAATGCGACGTCAGCAGGACGTCAGTATCCGAAGATGGCCTACATTTTTAGGTTAGTGATAAAAATTGTGGTTTATCCAGAAAAAATAGCACCATCACGGACCCCAAGTCATGAAAAGACTTCAATGCTATTCCAGTACACCAGGCTATACCAGGCCCTTGCTGAGTTAATATGAAGCGACAGGATGACTGGGTAGACCTTGGTGTTGGGTACGTTTATACATGATTATACAGTATACAGGTTTATACTGTATAGTGCTTCATTCGAACAATCATGGAGGGTCTAAGTCGAAGGTTGGCTATACATCGCGATATGGATGATATTTGTCAAAACAAATGATTCACTTGAGGGACATTTGGCAACAAAGACATGAGGGATATTGATGGGGGATGTTTTCTCTGGGCGGGGTTGCCGGGCGGTCGGCTACCCGGCAGTAAATTAACATAGCTATTGAAAATGGCCATTTATAGTGAGTTTTCCCATTAAAAATGGTGGATCTTTCCATAGTTATGTTAGTTTACCAGAGGCTACCCGGCAGTAAATTGGATTTATGGATATGGAAAATCCAGAAATCCACAATTTACTGATTACCCTAGGGTAAACGTTTACATAGACGTGGAAGCCACCCAGCATTTTTCATCAGATCATTTTCCCAGGGAAACCCATGGGTTTTCCACATCGAACTGTTAGTTTACCCTAGGCTGATTACTGGAACAACAATTGGTATACGTATATATATATATATACATACATAAAACACACACACACATATATATATATGATATATATATATTATATACCTCTCTCTCGCGATCGATCGATATACCCAGCTTTGCAACCCAACAGCAGGCTCCAGGTTCCAGGGTTCCGTTCCAGTTTTCAGGGCCAGCAGAAAAAACGGTGCACCACTCCCAGACCCAGAGATTGAAACCCAACAGTCACTGCTGTTGGGAATTTACCCCAGAGTATGAGTTGATGGGTGATGGGGGATATAATTCACCGTTGTTTGGGTTCCAGGATCCATGAATGATTATTTCACCACTAAAAATGTTACTATAGGATTCAACTATGAAGGCTTGTCCGGCTTGGCAATCAATAAGGGCTGATTCATGGGGTAAAAAAGGCACTGGCTGATCTGAAGAAACCACACTTTAAGATACTTTTTAAGATACTTTAATCTTTAATTCTCAAATGGAAGATAACTCCGACATGCTATGACATGACAATCATAATCAAACGTGGCAATTGAACATCCACCACTCATAGATAGATTATAGAATGTTATAGATTATTTTTCCAGCTACAAACCTCCATTTATACATATTGTATATAGGGGATTTTCCAGCCAGGGTTTGACCAGAGCTTGATGCAGAGTCCGGACTCAGAAATCCTCGAAGCATCCCAGCAGAGAGGCTGAATGAGGCCATCTTCAACGTGCCAGAGGATGATGTGATTAAGCACCAGCTGAGCAGCCGATGCCTGGTTCAGGTGATAGAGTCTGGTCGCCCATGAGGTAGACACGGAAACCAAGAGTGGGGCCATAGCCAGTCAAATCAACCCAGTGGGAACCAGTTTTACAGGTTCCATGGTAAATGTTGGAAGTGTAGAAACCCATGGCTTAGAAACACGGGCTTCGCGGCTTCACTCCTGAGAGCTGATCATGACAACTGAGACGAAACCAATCCAGAAGCACCACCGAGCTCTTGGCATGTCGACATCGTATGTCATAGTGAAATGTTGTAACATGTTGTAACCATAAAGGCAACCATGATGTCATGTAGCTGCGTTCAAAATCCAAGGGCTTTTGAAGGATGACAAGGCAATACAAGGCAAAAGCTGCCAGCAAAACTTCTCACAGTACAACAGCTGTACTTCACATCGTCAGATTTTGCCATGAAAAAATGTCACAGTCCCAAGGACTCTTTCAGCTGGTGACCCGAATCCGCAAAGAATACCAGGCAGGTCATTTCTATGCGAGAGATCAAGGACGGACCTTGTCCGCAACTTCAGTTGATGTTTCTAAACCTAAATGGATGGGATGGTGTGGGTAAAACATGGTAAAACAATAATATAAACCACCTCCCAAATCACCATCAAAATAATCATAAATAGGTGGGATTCAAACATCACTATAACTAGGTGGTATGGTCTGGTTACCATTTCCAAATAGCTGGTTGTGGCATTGTTTTACAATTTTTACCCACATGAAATGGCTTCCTTTCACTGATGCTAGACATATTTCGAAGGCCCCAGTCATGTGGATTTTCGAAGCCAGGAGACTACTTAGCTCTACTGGGCACCTTGCAAAACCAGTGGCCTGGCGGCGAAAAATCGGGCTACAGAGTAGAGACATCATCAGTGGGATATACCCTCTGGTTATTTTTAACATAGCCATGGAAAATCACCATTTTTAATAGGTAAATCATCTATAAATGGACCATTTTCCATGGCTATGTCAAAAATAACCAGAGGGTAGAAAAAATCGAGAAGCCTTGCAATGTTCAAGATGTTCAAGCTCTACCGCGCGCTTTTTTTGGGTGTTGCTAAGTATGTTCATCCCGTCATTTCAGAAATACGCACTGCAAAGTCTTTCGAGGTTCCTTACGGTTCCATATTTGGGGTATCTAATTCTTGCTGGGTTAGTGGTGACCTTGGATGCGGCCGGATGATTGAGAGTCCCAGCCCACAATAATGGGCCGTAAAGACATGACCAGTGTTTGGAATGATGGATTCTTTTTATGTTTAGAATGTGAGCTGGAAAAACTCCAGCTGGAAATCTAAGCTGGCTGGGAACATGTCCATCTTGAGAAATCAATGAACATCATCTGTAGAGATCGTCAAAATGGGATCACTTCCCCATATGCTTCCTGATTTTCAAGTTGCCGGCTGTTCTGTTTTCCGGAGGCTACCTGCCAACACCCCAGTTGATCACCCCAGTCGCATCTAGGCCCTTCAGTGCGCGCCAGTCTGCCACCCTGCGACAGTGGATTGCAGAGGCCTTAGGCGCTGGAAAAGACGACTTTGGCGCACAGGACGCTAGGATGGGGTGCGACAGCCACCATTTTTCCAACCCTAGTTGGGGCCCAGGCGCCGCAAAAAATGGTGTTGCCTGGTATCAGTTTTTAGATTTTTCAGTGCGCTTGCATATCTATAATATATTCATATGACTGAGCTAGGATGACTCATGTGCAACCGGGAAAAAGAGCGAAAAGTGTTTTGCACTTGGATTGCAGTCCTGGAAAGTCATCCCCAATCTATATACTCTGGTACTTTTTGGGTCTAACTTTCTTGTGTTTTTTCTCATTTTTCAAGTCGTGGTACTGTAACTGTTCTGGGCCGGGGGAGGACCCCACACACACACATATGTATATATATATATATAGATTATATATTTTATTTTACTACTAAATTATTAAATTATCATGTTATATTGTATATTGTATTGCATTGTATTGTATTGCATTGTATTGTGTTGCATTGTATTGTGTTATATATATTATACAGTAAATTATATGACGAGTATTTTTTTATATTGAATTATTTTTGTATTGCATTATATTATATATTGTGTTATATGAAATAACATTGTACTATATTTCATTATATTACGTTATATTATATAATATTACGTAATATTACGTTATATTATGTTATACTGAAAATATTTATTTTCTTTTGTTTTACTATACTATATTATGTAGTTTACTTTATTTTCTTGTATCATGATTTATTATATTATACTGTAGCGTGTTATGTTTTATTATATTATATATAGTATTAAATTATAATATGTTGTATTATGATAGACTTTATTGTATTGCATTATATGATGTTGCACTTTATTTTCTTGAATATTTTATTTCATTATGACATGTTATATTACATATATTACATTGCATTATATAGTATTTTATTGCATTATATTATATTGGATTAGGTTTATTAAGAAACGCACTTTTCACTGGTATGCTATATACTGCAATCAGACTTAATCATGTAACAAATAAGTCAATAAACAGTACTATATATATATAGATACATGAAGTATCATGAAATTAGATGAACAAATAAATCCAGGCTATTCATTGTCATATCCCCAGCGGGAGGATCGCCCGGCCCGGGCGGATCTGAAGAAACTGCAGCGGCTGACGGAGACGAATCAGGTGCCCCCTTTGGTGGATATCATGGGGGAAGAAAATCCCATGATTTCCTGATTTTCTGTGATTTTGGGAAGATCTCCCATGGATTTTTTCTGAGATTTTCGTGGTTAGTTTCCAGGTTTTTTTGTTTTTTCCAAATGTGGGAAAGAAATCCATGTTTTTTTTGCCAGGATTTTCCAAGTACAAAACAAAACCCGCAAAGTTTTTCCAAATGGGAAATGTATGCGATGATTTTCACAACGGGTAAGTTTCAATGATTTTCCATAGTTGGTGCCTCAGTTCGTTAGCTCAGTTAGCTATCTTGTTTTACAAGTAGTAGATCAAGTGGGATTTATTGTATTGTACTGTAGGTAAATCCAAGTAGTCCTGTGGGTTTATAAACCAACTTATCACTGGAGATAATGTTAAGGCAGGAATCACTGAGTTGATTAATAAGGTGTAGACATTGGGTTGATACAGGGATGGTATGGTTGTTCATGCTTGGGGTATAACTTGATACAGCGATAAGACACGTTAAAACCGAGGTTTTGATCAAACAATCCGAGTTGTTCCGGTCATGTTTGCTGGAAGTCTGGAAGTGGACGTTATTCGACAATTCGTGTCCGTGATTGATCCTCATGGTGGCTTGCCAGCCAATAGTAACCTACATCATCATCATCATCATCATCATCAATTAAATCTATAAATGTGCTGTTTTCCAATATTTTCCATATAAATGGGCCATAAATGCCGAAAAAGGAACTGGGCTAATGACTGACCAGCCACACGTAGGTAGTGATCAGCAGTGGACCCCATCCCCAGACCACCTTTGCAGGGTTGTCTCCTCTAGATTTTGACGTTCTGTTCATTCCTGCTTTTCTATCACCAAAAGGGGATGCATGATACATAATTACACACACACACATATATATATAATATATATATATTATACATATGAATGAATTATAATGACCTCACTGTGACGTCACTGGAATGATGGTTCACATATGGGAAAACATCCCCACATGGCCCAAATGGCCTAAAGTGCCAGCTATTTTCAGGTTGATGAATTGTCATAATTCAGCCAGAATGGTAGATGGACATATCAGCAGCACAAATGGTGACAGAACTTAAGACGTGATACAATGGCAATACAGCAATAATAAATCATCCATATTTTGATGACTTGTACCACCCATAAAAAATGGTCAGGTTGGGGATCCTATTGTTTCATCACCTGGGCAAAAGCCTCGGGGCAGCACATCAGGTCCTGGCCGAAGAGCTTCAAAAGCTCAAAAAGCTGGAGAAAGCCGTGCGGATCTTCGCGTCCTTCCAGATGCCATCAGGATCTTCGTCCAGTTTAAAATGATAGGAACATTTTATTACAGTTGGCCATCAACACACACAATCGCATTGTAATGTGAGATAATATGATGTATGTATATGTGTATATATATATATACATGTGCGTTGTATATTTATAGTATCATATGTCTATTGCATACATAACTTGATGTAACTTGCACAATATACACTGTATGCACATAATTGCATTTATAGAAATGCCCTATGTAAATGTTATACACACAGAACTAAACAAATAAATAAATACAGTAAATAAACTTATATATACACATACATATACATAACTTAACATACATATATAAATATAAACACATGTATCTATCCATCCATATATATATATTTCTACCTGTATATATGTTTGTGATCCACGCAGATATATACATATATACATTCGTATATTATGTATATTTATTGTTTTGTTGATATTTCTATGTCATGCGTATCTACATATATGCAGATATGGATAAAAATAATCCCCACAACGAGGCCCATGACTGTCAGCAGGTTCAGAGATGCGTCCAATGATACTGTTGGGTTGGGCAAACTACTCATGCAAGTATGTTAGTATGGCATTGTTTGCGGATTTGCGTCATCATATCTAAAGTTATCTAAATTGCAAGTTTGCTTCCGGTCATATAATCAAGAGGTGAAGAACAGCACCTTGCCAGCTCACCAAAAAGATCGGCCCCAACATGTTCAAGCCAGTGTGTGTGTGTCATGAAAGTTGTTGCATCCAATTTTACATGACTTCTTGAAACTACATTGACTACATATAAATCGTATAACATCATATAACATCACTACAGCTATGTTTGTTCTGTCTACTCATTACATTGTCAATGGCCAGACTTCCGTTGGATGTTTGGGCGCACAGGACTTGCTCGAAGCCGCGAGAAGCTGGAGCCGGCGAAAGCGGTTTCGACAAAAACGCCCGAACAGAGCCACCAGGGCGGCACTTTGGATCCAGGTTTGCGAATGAGAGATTTACCCTCTGGTAATTTAACATAGCTATTGAAAATGGCCCATTTATAGATGATTTTCCTATTAAAACCTCCATTTATAAGGAATTTTCCATGGCTATGTTAAATAACCAGATGGTAGTGAATACTTACCCTCTGGTTATTTAAGGTAGCGAATAATAGGTAAATCACCATCTGAATAATAGGTAAATCATCACTTAAAACATCTATTTCTATGGGCCATTTTCATCCATGTTCCATGGCTATCATAACCAGAGGGTACCTGGCCATAGCCAGAGATTATCCAGTGAAATCTCGGGAACATGGACCTTGGGTTGATTTGGTGATATAGATTTTGGCATTTTGGTTTTGGCAACTTGGGATATTGAATTTATATATATATATATATGATAATATATATATATGATATATATATGTGTGTGATATTATATGATATATATAATATAGGGGTTTCATCCACAAATCGATGTTTCACAAAAATTAAATGGGACAAAACCCCGAACCATTTACCGCCAAACCCCCACATTGGTCTGGTTTGGGCGTCGGTTCTACTTTCGGAAACGGAGATCAGGCAATTTCCGGCCACAGAGCGAGATATCGCGAAAAACGTTTTCTCTATTCTTTCCTTAGGCTCTTCAAAGTTTTGCCCAAAATCTTGTGAACTGGATTTTCTATGATTTTCGGATATTTTCTGCCAAAGATCTTTCCGCTCCGTTACAGTTTATATACGTTCTATGATTCATATCTCATGTGGTTTATTGCATGGGATTCAGTTCTGAGGAGCTGTTGATGCCATCACGGAAGCCTTGAAAAAAGCCGGCAAGGCGCGTGAGAAACGTGAGAAATTGGGGTTGAAACAGCAGAGATGTAGTAAACATGGATGATTTGAGCCTATTTCACCAACCAAAACAGATGTTTTTTTTTTAAAACCAAACATGGATGATTTGACCGTACTTCACCAACCAAAACAGAGCGTTTCTACATGTTTTTACCAAAAAGGGTGATTTGACCATATTTCACCATTTTTTTTTAAATACCTAGGTGGGTTGTTTTTTCCTACCAGCTGCAGGCAAATGACAAAGTCATCTCCTTTTCTCTAAATTGATGAATTTTGCTGCGAGAAAGCCAATCTGGAAAGTTGTTTCTTTTCTTCTTTCCGCAAGCTGAACGCAGGATTTTGCAGCATCCATGTATTTTTGATTGAACTTATTACAAATGTAGTGTTTACATGCCGAACTGAGCATCTCACAATGTCAATTACCTAAATGTTTTAAATGTTGCGTTTAGGTTTCGAAGTCTGTACTTCCGTGTTACGAAATTTGGAAAGCATTGAAATCAACAGTCAGTGCAAGGAAAAGTCACTGCGCAGAAAAGTCACTGCAAAGAACAGTCAGAGCAAGGAAGACTCAATGCAAAGAACATTCACCGCAAAGAACATTCACTGCAAGGAAAAGTCACTGCAAAGAACAGTCACTACAGACTGTCAGGATTATATACAGGGTTCCAGGGTTCCAAGATTCCAGGTTTTTAATGGTTCCAAGATTCCAAGGCTGCCTCCTGACACCACTCCTCGCCCAAGAGATAGAAACCCAACGGAATCGCTGTTGGGAATTTCCTACGTTTACATGGGGTCCTGCGCCTTCAATATCCTGGTGTGCAAACACTTTGAACCACTAAAACGCAATCTAAATGCAGCATCAACCTGGCATATTGCCTAAAAGGATGTCTAGGGATGACTGGGCCTTACCGTTGCCCTGGATGAAACCACAGCACTTTTATCTCCAGGAGAAAGCAAAAGCTCAGGAAGCACCTGGATATCAGGTGCGGCCGGTGGCTGGAGACAACCGCCCAATCGGTGGTGGGAGATACCTGGGAGATACCTGGGAGATACCAAAGACGTTGTACGCATTTGGGCTTAAAATCAACTATGATAGATGGGAAAGATGGTAGGATTGCGATAATTTAGTGTTATATACTAAATGTGTCTAAATGTTTCATTTGTCGATTGCTGCAAATGCGCGATCACTTGATTGAACCTGGTGTCCAGCAGGTTCAATCGGTGGATCGCGCATTTGCAGCGATCCTGGCGGTTGATTCTGGTGGTGACAGCTCTGCAGTTGCAGATCAGTTTGCCACGATGTAGCCGTTTGCGCGTGTACAGTTCCATTCCGAGTTGCTCAAAAAGTGCGCTGATTTGCTTTGGGAGCGTATTCCAAAAGCCAATTTCATTAGCGACCAGTTTCACAAGATATTTTGTGAAGTGTGGCACTGTGGCACGCTCTTAAAGTGGCGGGTGAAAGCCAATCTTATGGCAAAGTCTTCCTAGGAAAATTTGAAATGATGGGGCGAAGTGATTTTCATGGCCATTGTATGTCCATGTCACGTCATTGGGCATGAATCCCTCTTCCCCGTAGCGGTGCTTCAGTTGATGAGATCTCCAGTTTGGAGGATATTTAACCCATATACACATATACACATATACATACACACAGAGGCTAGGCATAGGGTTCCGGTTGGTACCATAGATTTTTGTCCGCTAACATCTTCGAACCATTGGCATCATTGGCATCCTACTTCAGCCTCCACCCAACCCTTCTCCATGCAGCTCCGTCAGCCAGTCAGGTCCACACTGACATCGGCTGGCGAAGATACGATGAGGATGCACAGAATATGATACAAAATGCTTGCACCAAAGGACGAGAGGAATGTACCTCGTCCCAACGCACGCTTCGGACATGGGGTAATCTCGAAGCGATTCATACCGATTTTCAGCCCAGAATGCCCAATTGCATCCTGATCCAGTTGCGGACATTGATCCCATGACCAAAGTGCGACGCAATGAACACGGTGAAGCCACAATGGATGGCACCGCTCCTTGGATGCTACCAAGGCGAGATCTTTGCCCAAGGCCAGTATTACAAGATCAACCTGAAACGCATCCTGCCTGGAACTGCGGTAGCAGTGGGTGATAGGTGGGTGGCAGTTGGTGAAACCATGAGAAACCTTGATGAATCTTTGGAAATTTTGGCAAATGAAAGGCATGACTATCCGAAATATCGATATAGGATAAAGGCTCCTGAAACATTGGGTTTCTCTAAGGGTTATCTAGACTTAGCCGAGCTGGATTTTCCCGGAGGCATGCTGTTAAGATCACCTTTGATGATGAGCATTGCAGGTATACCGGTTTCATGTGCTGCAGATGACTAGTGATGATTGCAGTTGAATCGCAGTTTAAGGGTTGCAGAGCCAGCTATCACTTCAAATGAAGGAGCGATGGTTTGGAGTTCTTTTTTTGGCTGTGTGGATGTTAAATATTAGCAATTGGGGAGACCGGATTATAGTTTCCATGTGCGCCAACAAAGGATATCTAACCTATCTAACCGACGATGAGGATTGCACGGACCAGAGAAGCAGGGTGGGGATTACTCACTAGCTGACCTCACCAGACCATATGTTTTTCATCGATAGGGAACCACCATTTCTATCCATTTCTGGTTTTGTGAATGAAAGGCATTGCAAATATGTGTCATATTTCGTAACAGGAACATCATCTTCACAAATGGACGACCATCCAAACATGGGCTGCTATTTCCATTGTCAGGTTTGTCATGTTTGATCGAGGATACATCCGACAATTGCATAAATCATCAAAATTCATAACCGGATATTTTGCTGGCAAAGCGATGCTTGCCTATAGGTATTCCCTTTAACCAACCCAGACATAATCATAGTAGGAAGGCCTTCAGTGCTTTGCATGATTTGTGGCAACCAGATGGTGCTTCATAATTGAATAAATCCCAAAATCTTGATCGAAACTGTGAGGATTGACGATCATTTCCCCACCCCCCCTGTTAAATTTGCCATGTACCCCGAAACTCCCCAAAATTTGAATAGATCCCCACCAACAGATCCCCCCTGGCCGGATCCCAAAGATCCCAACCGAGGTATGGTGCAGATCAACCCTGGCACCGGCAACGAGCGTGAGATCCGGCTGCATGGCCAAAGGCCAGTGGCACCCGAGATGCCCAAGCTGAACTTCAAGCGTCTGATGGTCGAGACGCTCAGCTGCGATGGTGGTGGTTTCCATTGGTGATTTCATTGGGGATCTAGTGGGGGTTCAATGGTTTCATGGGGATTTAGTGGGATTTAATGAGATGTCATGGGCATGCTGTGGGCTAGTGTTATATTCCCTTTCCTGGTCGCTTCAAATAGGGTCTCGCTTGTTGGTCATAGTGTCATTTTCATTTCTTGTGTTCACCTTGAAATTGTGAATAGGTGTGTATAATATTGTAATCTTGGGGACGGACGGTTTCCTCTTGTTTTTTTTGTTAATGTTCATTGGGGAGATGGTGCGTCCTTTGTGAACATCCCCCCCACGATATCCTCCATCTTGGCTGCTTCGGTGTATTCAATGATTGGTTAACAAGTGGGCTTACAATTCAATTATAAAATTATAATTCAGCTATACTGGGGACTTTTAGAAGGTTGTTTATCATATAAACCTATAAAACATTATAAACCCCATATTCCATCCCATATATAATAGGTGGGGATATTCATGGATATTCCATATATAAGTGGAGGTATAATCGAATATACTAAGTGGGATGCACCCCCAAGTAGCGCATGAGGTTCAAACAGCTGGAGGCGCAAATTGCGGATGGCAGCTGTGAGGGTTTCCTTCTGCGCTGCGAGCCGGTGGAGGATAACTTGATGGACGCTGGGAGCGGTTTTCTGGAACATCATACCCTCTGGTAAACTAACAGTTCGCTATGGAACATCACCATCTGAAAAATAGGTAAATCATGGTAAACCCACCGACCATCACCATCTGAAAAATAGGTAAATCAGCTATTTCTATGTGCAATGGCTTCAATAGCAAAGTGTTAGTCATTACCAGAGGGTAGGCTGTTGATGAACCCCAAAAGATCCCCCCGGAGTTGTGCAGCTGAAGAAGCCTTCGAGGAATGGGAGGTGGATATGTCCTTCCCCAGCGACTCGCCGTTGCAAAAGAGCTTGGACAACCTGGCGGTGCCGCGGCGTCGAGGATCTTTGGTGGGCCAGGGATGTATTTTATTGGGACCGCAAAGGCACACATGAGAATATAGGTTTTGGTGTCTTTTTGGGAGAAATATATATATATATATAAATGAATGCAACAATGGCAATACATTCATACATATTCATACAATAACTAAATGTTTAACGGCTTCATTTATTACAACTTATATACATTTAAATATGCATCATAAATGGAAATGTTGTACACTCATATGCTGGGTTGACTAATGGGGGCTTTCTTTCTTTTAGATAGGCTCTCAAAGATGGGGTCCCAAAATCCGTGACCAGGACGGGCGTTTCAGTCGCAAAGATGGGCAGCAAAAGTCAAGAATCCATCCCTAAATCTGATTCCAAAGTTCCATTTCATTCCTGTTCAATGTTTTATTTGGGGGTGATCTCTTCATTTCTACCGCGACACGGCTGGTTGCAGATGAAAAATCTTATGTCAATCATCCACCAGATCATCTCCTAGGAATGCACGAACTCACATAACTCACCATCTTTCAAAAGTTTGCAGATTATTTCACCATCCAGCATCAACAAAGGTCAACATTATCATGTGTTGTGTGGAATGGTGGGTTCATCCCCTATGTCCTAGACATCCCCACCGTGGTTTTTTAATGAGCTGGAGGTATATATCTACCCATGTTTGCCATAAAATTGGTGGCTGGATGTTCAGCTGAAAAAAGTGGTCAAGTATTGACCCATCCTATCCTAATTTTTGGTCGCTATGCATTCTCGTTGGTTGGATCCCTTTCTTGGGTGGTTATCCTCATAACTGTGGATGAAACCCCAATGTTTGCTGGCTCCTTAAATTTCTACATATGCATCTCTCCTCCAGTGCAAAACAAGGCCATGATTTTTCACCATTAAAATTGCCCTAGATTGGGGGCACACAAATTGCCATAGATTGGGGGTACACATCGCATTCGCATAATAACATCACATCACATCGCATCATTAATACAATACGTTTGGGGCCAAACTCATGTATCAGTGCAGACCTGCTATCCATATACTTTTTTTTTCTCCAATGTATATATATATATGTATATATACGTGCACATATGCGTACATATATTATGCATATTTGGCACATTTCGCCATACAGAGAACAGACCCAGGCCATCATGTTCGACAGCACCTTGAAGCGCTTGACGCTTTGCGTTCGCTTCACCGTGGAGTTCCCCTTGAGCCCGCCAGAGGTATGGCTGCGGAGACCGCGCATGCGCTATCCTTCAGGGCAGACAGGTGGAGAGCGACACCTGGATATACTGGATAGAGGTGATGTTAGAAGTCATAAGGTTTATCCCTTATTTATGATGTTTCCAATATACTAATATCATTTTATATCCCCCAGGTTTCCATTTCCGGCTTTTCTATCCGTGTTCAGGGTTTAAAGAATCTAATTATAAATACAACGCAGGATGATCATTGATTTCCTAAAATGTGAACCCCTAGATTCTGCACGAAGATCGTGTTAGTTTAATTATTGGGCTTCAGTTTGGACTCCCGTCTTTTCCTTTTTTGTAGACACTTAAATGCGATGTGAATTCCTCGCTCTTATGGTATGGGCATGTATGGGCTATGTGTCAAAACCCTGGCACCTACGCCAAACTAGGTGGTAAAGGGATGTTTCCCACATATGTATGATGTTGCCGGTTTTCACTCATCCCCAATGTGGCTTAGTCTGAGAATAGGGCAAAACATGGGAACCCCCAATTTGATGGTTTAACATGGTTTAACACATTTCAAAGCCTCATTTTCCCGATCGTTTAATGGCCACTTTAGAGATCTCCTTAGAGGGGCCTGGAAGCATCGGTGGATGGCACGCAGGGCCTGTGACCTTTGGCGGCCGCGTGTGTAGCCCGGGAGCCCAGGACTCCATGCCACCATCCTACCCAGATCGTCATCAGGAACAATCTGCATATATCCACATCAATTGGGTTCAATTGTTAGATGATGATATATATGACATGGGTCATCATGGGTCACTTGGAATGAATATGGAACATGTGTGAACATGTCCTAAATTTGGGTAAAAACCAGCGTTTTTTTTTATAATCAGGTTTGCTCCTGGCATCTGCTGGATGGCAACCTGCCACCTCTATGCTGAGTGTTTTCAAGGCGAAGGGGCCGAGTTTGGTGATGATGGTGATGGGAAATCCAAGGAGGGAGCCAAGGATTCAGGGGTATTCATATTCCCTATTAAATGGGGAGCCAAGGAGCTACTAAGAGTTTTCCAATCACCTATATATTATATAATAGATAATCGGAAAGACACAGGACAAAAAACATGGGAAACTCATCAGCAGGCATTGAAATATATTGAAATTCTTAGAACTCTGCCAGGTTAGAATGCCTTGCCGGAGGGTATACGTTTCCGAAAAACAGCTCAATGGTTGGGACCCGATTGGTCGTAGAAATGGGATACCTCCAGCCAAGGGGGCTGGATTGCCAAGTGCTGGTAGTCAGGGGCTGCTAAACCCCTGTCGCTTGATGGTTGGTTTGTGGGCTATACTACCCAATATCTTGGGGATTATCATTATCCTATTAGAATCCCCATGAATCAACCAGCCATATCACATTGTTGGTTAGTTAGTTATATAATAAATAATATTCCATTAAATTCCCAAATATATCTGTATATATATATTTAAATATTGTTGGCAGACGTATCATGTTCTTGGTTAGTTATATCCCATGCAAATCCCATTCAAAAAGTCATAAATCCCAGAAGTTATAGTTTATCCCATTAAATCCCATTAAACAAATCCCATTCAAATCACCATATTTTCTTGCAACACATCACGGACGTCACTTGAGAATACTTGAGCACGCCAGGAGGTGCAACAGTCCCTGTTGGCGTCAGAGATTGAGGCAAACACCATGGTGCACATCAAGAAGGAGCGAACGTCACGTGACCCGTGACCCGTGGCCAGGTGATGCCCGGAAGAAAACTGACTGATTGTGATTGGTTATGGTGAACGATGGTTCATAATACATAATTAACACATGGTTAAGTAAAGGGTTAATTCGTGGTTAATGGTTATAGTGGGCCTAGAATAACCCAGTTATACGTTGGATAGTTCAGTAAGAAAAGGGGACTTCCGTTTGCCAGGCTTAGTCGCCTCTGGTCCAGCTATAGTTCGATGAAATTGCTTATGGGGATTTTTCCATTATGTCATTATGTTAAATTACCATTTGCTTGTGGGGATAAATTGCAGGATAAATTACCAGAGGGCACTATTAGTGAGCCTGAATTTGTGGGGTCCCATTTCAAACACATGGAGGAAGATACTGTACATTCCAGCAAAACATCAAATTCTTTGCTGGGTAATCCAAGGTTGCCCATGACGGGATTTGATTCTGCTGGGGTGGCACTTTCCCAAAGACCTACATTTTGGAGTGCCGGAGACGTGTTGAAACCCTCCCAGTTGGTGCCTGAATAGCCACAAAGCATTGTGAACAGATTTGGATTCTGTACTGCGAAATCACTGGAATGAAGTTTGATAGGGGAACAACCCGAAACTGGCCTTATTCTATGCTGGTGAAGTACAATATAGTTTTTCTTATACATGTACACATGTTATAAATTGTTTTTGACATGGAAGGAATTTTCCAATCGTAGAGAGTGATGACGACTTTGATGATGATGATGATGATGATGATGACGATGCCGATGACGGCGACGGTGACGGTGACGGTGACGGTGAGGGTGATGGTGATGGTGATGATGATGATGATGATGACGATGACGACGGTGACGGTGACGGTGACGGTGACGGTGACGGTGACGGTGAGGGTGATGGTGATGGTGATGATGATGATGATGATGACGATGAAGTGCGCAGTATGAAGGACGTCCTTAGCCACTCTCCATGCTCCAGGAATGACCCAAGATAGTCCATGAGATAAATTCAAGTCTATCACTCTTTCTCGTCGTTTGGCCTTTGGAAGGAGTACCCCAAAGCCTCCGTACAACTTGAACGTGTCTTGGTTGGCGATCCTGGTGGTGTTCCCCTCGGATCAGGGGATGGGACCAATATGGATCAACCATGTCCGAAACTGCCCAGATTTGTTCCATGGATGTTTAGACTTTTTAGGAGTTTACCACCGTTTTTCGCCCAGATTTCAAAATTTCAACCATTTCTATCCAAGCTTGTCCCTTGAGATCAGCACATTTTTTTCTCAATGTTTAGGTGGTTCCTGTTCCGAGAATTTGTTAAATGGAACATTTATAGGAACCCCATAGAACCCCCTTCTGTTTGGCCGTGTGCACAATGATTTCCAGTAGATGTTCCGTTAAATTAATCCATCTATACATACATACCCACCTACCTCCCCAACCGACCAACCGACCGACCGACCTACCTACCTACCCAACCGACTTACTGACCTACCTATATAGCTATATACTTGCACACATATGTATAAGTATATATATATATACACGTGTATATTGTATGTAAATATATACAGTAAATAGTATACTCAGATGCATGTATAAATACACATATATCTATACAATTTTATACACATACACACACATATTATATAATATTATAAATATATAGAGATACACATACTATCCATACATCAATATAACCTGCATGACATACAGTAAATATATGCCACACCAAGGCCTCAACACGGAGCTCTTCCACACGGTGAACGGTTTCTGCAAGGACGGCATGACGGCGCTGTCGCCCGAGGCGGCGCAACCCTTCCTGGGCGACTTGAAAAGGTGCCCGGATGTGCCCGGATTTCTGGAGATGTCCACGTGAAAAATGGCGGATTTAATAGGGATCAACTATTAATCATAGAAACCATAGTTAATCCCTATTAAATCATATGTGATATTAATCATCATAATTTATAGGGATTGATTATGGTTTCATATCGTGAAACATGATGATTCAACAAGCAAAAATCAAGATGTCATGGGATTCAAACGCTATAAATGGTGATTTAATACGGATTTACTATGGTTTAATAAGATTTAATTAATGGGATGAGAATCCACTTCATGGGATTTTAAGCACCGTAAATTGAGATTTAATCATCCAAAATGGCAGGTATAATCAGTATAGTCCCTTCCCCCTAATACTAAACATTCCCCACAGATAATAAAACCTAGAGGTAGTTTTTAGGATTTAGAGGGTATAGTATTAGGGTGTGAAGCTTCCCCCTAATACTAAATTAAAAACCTTAATAGAAAAACTAAAACTTCTATGTCAAAATCGATTAATTTCCTTTCTATAATCAAATTATATAACACATTTCCAGAAATTGGATTTCGATGGTTCCCCTAATATTAAATTAACAATCATATTAGTATACATTGCACACTGTTGCAGGAATAGGAAACTACACGAAAACGAGCACGAAAGCGGGGCGCGAACACATGCGCAACCAATAGCTCACACAGGACTGTGGTCGCGCAAGATACGCGCAAGGTTCGCCCAAAGCCGGCCCAAGAGCCACTTTCGGGTAAAAGACTTTAGAACAACCCCCATTTGTATAACCTAATGATTTTTAGTTATATAGTGTTCATTTCGTTTTTCAGTGGCCACACGTTGGTGGGTACGGGGCACCAGTGGGAGTATAACCTAGATACACAGATGAAGTCTAACCAACTAAGATTGTGCTATTTATAGCATGTATATGATACCAGATATACTCTATAGGTGTAAAGACTTGAATGTGAATATTAGGTGGAGTGCGTCAAAATATTTGATAAACTACACCAAGTACCCTACAACGAAAGATTGGGGGTTGTTTCAACCCTGGGTAGTTACCAATATGGTCATTTACTGGAACCTTTGATGACTACTATGTGGACTTTGAATGATAATGATACTTCATTCTTGGACAAACCCCAAAATGGAGATGTGTTTTGATGGGGTTACAACTGGCCCGAATAGCTGGAGGAGCGCTTGGCAGTTGAATGGGATCCGTGAAGCAGGAGGGAACACATATAAAAACATGGGCTACTGCACGAGGAAATATCATATGACCGTCGTGAAAAATTGATGGGGAAGCAGTCTGTAAAACCTTCTAAAATGATGTGATTGCCATGTTTGATTCCCACAGGGTAGAGGTGGCCTGACCGAATAACCTTCAGGTTTCAAGAACCGTTTGGCTGACCATCCATACAGATTTGACAGGTCCAAGCTTCCAATTCCTGGAATTCCTGAGGTACGAAAGGCAAACCTGAATATTACCTCCGAATAATCCCCTTGGGGATATCCAATGGGTTTCAATATCATGTTTTTTTGCATGTTATTACTCACTTGCAATACCTGGGTCCCGCACCCCTTGCAGAAGATTTCTTCTGGCCCATTTGGTTGGATGATTTTTCCACATGGAAATGCGCATTTACAGTGGATTTACCTTATGTTCCCATCTTTTCTCATAATTTTTCCATATATATATACAGTATATATATATATATATAGACATGCACACACAGATATATGGTCCAGCGTTCCAACCCCCCCTCACCCCCTCACCTCCTGTGGTGTGGGGGGGGTGTGGTACTGTATGGATGGTAGGTATGGTATGTAAGTCTGTTGGGTATGGTATGTTTGATTGCATTTTGTAGTGAGCCAACATTGGCTATTGATCCACCATCAAAAACCCCAAAGCATTTTGTAGCAAGGGGGTTGGTCCAGGTAAAGGCAGCATTTTGTAGTATACGGCTGTGTTTGTAAACGGTTTAGTTGGCACAGCTACCCTCCAGAATGCACCGGGGGATCTAAGTGTGTGTTTACTGATTAAGGTTCGGAAACCTGGAGGTCATTCTATGTTTCACTTTACAATCGCTGAGATCAATACAGGTTGAACATATATCTTGTTCAAAGGGGGATCGCCTAAAAAAACATGTTTCTGGAGGCATCGTGAAGGGGGAACCTCTCCCGAAATTTTTATTGATCATTTTCTTGTATCTTTCGGCCACGTCGGCGCGGGGGCGTTCAAATGCAGAACAACGACATTTTTTTTTGAAGATTTTGCTTGTTGAAGCGTTTTTGCGATGATAGAAAGCAAAGGCAAAACTTGGATTTGCTGAATGTGATTTTTTATTTCTCTGGGTGTTGTCTAGACGCCAGCTGGTATGTAACATTATCTGATCTAACATGTTTTTTCATGGTCTCCGTCCGCATACGAGCCGCATGATGGGCGCGTGATCTCCGGGATGCGCCTCTCGGTCAAGGTGATGGCATTTTCCCAATGGGAAATCGAAGCAAATCGACCATTTGGGGCAGCCATAGGGATGTGAGATTTTTTTTTTGGGACTGAAGCTTAACTCTGGATTTAGGCCTCTGATATTTATAGGGCTTCGAGGTTCATCAATGATTTTGGTGTTAATTACATGTTGGATCTTATTGGCGATTTCAATAGAGTTTTCATGGTGAAGCCTGATTTCATGGCTCATTTATGGATATTTGTTCGTGTTTTTATCATTGAACTTGTTTGTTGATTGTTGGTTTGATGTTGATTGGTTATTTCATGGGGATTTAATCATCTTTGACAGGGGTTTTCATTATCAACAGTATGGAGATGTAGTTGATAAATTGGATTTAGTCTGGATTTAATAATCAAGTTTTAATTGCCAACTGCGTGTCAGGCATATGAGTGTTTTTGATATTACTGATGTAGTGCTTTTGGCATCTTTTGGCAGTAGTAAGGGGTTTGTCCAAAAATGGGACCCCACATGACCCCACGTGTTGCAATTTTCGGATTTTTCAGTGGGAGAATGATGGAAATGATAAACCAAGGGATGAAATGGGGTGCCCGATATTCGAATGCCCAGGCTACAACTGCGAGGTGCGCTCGGCCATTCCCGCTGGTTATTGACGGATTGAAAGGTAGATAGCAATGTGGTAAACCTAATGCCACCCTACCATTTGGGGATGGTGTTTACTAGTGTTTACCACCCATCTAAGGGAGGGATGGTTTATTGGTACACCGACACCAGCTAGACTCATTCCCTGGGGGATTCGGTGATCGCAAGTCCCCGGTCTAGGACAGGTGGCGATCTACATCGATTTGCCCACGGCCATTCGGGTGCGTTGCACGGGTGAAACCCCTTATCACGCAATGCGAACAGCAACGTGGAGATATGATCCAGCCAGGGAACATTCCCTGCCTTCAATGGAGCTCAGTTTTTGCTTGGATTAGATGGCTTGACCATTTACGGTTCTGTATACCCAAAAAGTCAAACACAATTTGCCAGGATCAACCCACCAAGTTTCAGCTAATATCTCGGACTTGTCAGGAGAGCGTGCACTTCTTCCAGAGTGCCAACGAGGTGATCTTGTCGCCCGGGATCCATGGAACGGTCCCCGCGAAGTACATCTCGAAGGTTAGAGATGTCAGCATCGGTTTCCATCAGAAATGAGTACTGGAGTACCATTGGAGCCAATTGTAGCTATGGGAGCTTGGTTCATTGGTCCAAGCCATTTCACACCACCTCCGTATAGTATGTTGCTTCGCTTCGGCTGAGTTTGCGCCAAGCAAGGCAACATTAGAGATGGCCTCCTGATTCTCCATTTCTCGCGTGGGTTATGGGAGCCGAGAATCTTGCACGCGGGGACACAATCTAACGCATAGGGACCTCTGAGGAGTACGAGGTGGGACCTGCGTGACTGTTCTGAAGCTGAGCGGACAGCTTCACATGGCAGCCAGTGGGTGACGCTGGCTCCAGGTTGTGTCCTATCTATCTAGTGCACGAGCATTAGCCATGCAAGGCAAACCTGCGTTGAACAGGTGTACAACAAGGATGTCGTGCAGATGAGAAGTGAAAATGAGCGGCCGCCAGCGTGAGTAGCTTCAACATGCATATCCTTGAGATGTATATTATATACATTACATATATACAGCATACATATACATGTATATAGATATATTTCTTTGTGTCTAGCCTATATTTTTTTCATCAGACTCCAAAGGTCCGGAAAAGGACCAGTTACTAAGCCCCTTCGTTCCATACGTCCGGAACACTGGGGAAGGTTCATACACAATTTTGACTCACATCCATATATATATATAGATGTATGTCTACTGTACATGTATATGTACAATATATATATATCTATCTATTTATTTTTTCTTTATTTTATATCCTTTATATTCTAGAATCTTATATTCACCACGTCTCCAAGCCACCTTGGATGGTTGAAACCCTATGAATACTGGGATGTTTACCACCTAGCAACGGTGTTCGGATTTTGCAACCATCCACCGTAGCGTTCGTCTCGTGTCCAGGTCAAGCACCGAGTCTGCTCCTGCGCGCGTTCCATGCGTGTGCTTTGCGCAGCTTGTGGCACGCAGCGTGCTGTCTTGGTCTCTTCTCTTGTTCGAGCTATGGAGTTCGTCACCTTGCGTGCCGGCGGGTGCGAAGGATCAGCTGTTTTCTTCGCTACCGAGCAACTGCTATGTGTGCCAGTGACGACAGCGCACCACCTCGGGCTTGAGATTCGCTCGCACGAGCCAGCCGGCCCGACTGGCCCGCAGCGCCTCGAGTTTCTTGACAGTTCCTCCGAGTGTCCGTCGTTTCTCGGCGACGTCCACCTTTTTGTGCCAATCGTCTTTTTGAGCCTCCTTTCGGTACGGTCTTTTGTTTTTGTACAATGACGGAATGCATGCACGATAGATGCAGTGCAAAGAATATCAGATAGAATCATTTTTTTGCTCAAAAAAATCAGAGAATATATTTTCCAGATCAAATCTTAGATAGTCTGTCAGAATGATAATTCATGGCGGGGACCGCTTGAAATGAGTAATTTGGTTTGGGCCCAAGATTTCTGGAAAGATCTTGAACCCATTTCCGGGTGCTGGAGCCATCGTGGCATGTGTGCTTCCCGTGGCAGCGTCCGACTTTGAGCGCTTGGCCTTTGGAAAAAAAGAGACCGTGTGAAACTTCAGATTCTCAGCACTGTCAGATGTCTTGGCTAGAGAAAATGTAAAATATAGCGAAGCGGAAGACGATTTTCTCACTGAAATTCAGTTAGGAACGTGGGGAAAAAAGATTATACCATCATATCCGATGCGCTTTCATGCTGCGCAAGTTGCGGACACATCCCTAAAGCAGAGTACCATCAGCCTCATATGTGACAATACCGATTGGGTGGCCTTAATTTTGATATGCAGACGCAAGACCAGAACGGTTGAAATCAGACGCACAACATCATGGCTCAAACTCTGGGCGCCACTTATACAGGCTCCACTTTTGGGGCGTATTCGGACAAGAAGAAAACAACAATGCGGCTAAATGACGCTATTCCCTTGCAATTGACCCAACAATAACATCGGAAACATGGGGCCCGTGTCCCACAGAAACTGTGCAACGGTTCCACCTGTTTTTACGTAGCCCACTGTATGAGCAGAAGCAGGAACAAGACCCGGACCCAACATATCTATATAGACCAAATCTCCCAAGACAGACATCGATATCCAGGGTTTACCCGCCTTACACTGCAACAAAGAAACGACTTCGCAACACGACAAACGCACGATCGTGAAAACATGTAGTCGAAACGATCAACGCAAATCGTTTACGTCGTCGAGGGTCCAGAAATTAGACGCTGCAACAAAGAAACGACTTCGCAACACGACAAACGGCGTCGCAAACAGATTGTTTTTTTACCATAGAGCATGACGATGATAAACATAGACAATCCTTTCATGTTTGTTTTTTTGCTGCAGCCTATGTTTTTCACATAGGGTTAGACCAAACATTTTGCCAGCTGAGATGTTGTTCAAAAGGCAGCACTGCTGTCTTGGAGGCTGAGGAATCGAACCCAACAACATTGTTTATCATCAACGAAATTGTTTCTTGCTGCAGCACTTTTTGTTGGGCACAGATACACCAACGAGTGGTGAAGTTGTCAGGAAACACCTCCATCTGACACGTTTTGCGCGTGCGGATTTTTTTTTGATAATAAGATGTTGGAAGCAGCTCTCCTGAAAACTGTGGAGATTGGAACTGTGTGAGATCAGGGACACATTTCACATCCAATTTTTGGATCTTAAACGGTTTGACCGAAAACAGATCTACTTTGCAGAAATCAGGAGCGTTGAGTGTTTGATCGCTTTGCTGAGACTATGCTGAAACTTTTTTCGGCCTGAGTCCGTGTATAATGTCCCCATTTCAAACCCCATTAAAAGCATTCCGAATGCGGAATTGTTCTGGTTGCAAGAGACGTGCTGTAGAATCTGTTTGCGAAAAATGGAAACTCAAAGTGTTGCCCTATCGGCAATTTTTCTTCGGGATGTAGCGCGGCTCACCGCAGTTACCCTGACACTACACAGTGAGTACGGCATAGAGACCAGCGTATGCTTACGAGCGCAGGATGGCGTATACAGAGACGCGCATACGTTGCATACAGATACGCACACATGGCGTTTACAGATATGTGCATACGGCAATTATATATGTAGGATCGCATACGGTATATACGCACGCGCGCATACAGCGTATACGCACACTTGTTATGTTTAAATTTACTATCGCATATCAATGCCGTACACAGCCTGTACCATGTCTATTGCTACTACTGCACTACTAGGATACGAGGGTGCTAGACTACTAGTACTAGTACTACTACTTAGGACGACAACGACGAGGACGACGACGACGACGACGACTACTACTACTATTATTAATATTATTATTACGACTACTACGATTACTTTTACTACTAGTACTGTTACGAGTCCTACTACTTTTGTTTTACCACTCTGCTACTACAACAACAGCTACTACTACGACTACTACTATTATTGCTACTGCTACTACTACTACTACTTCTACTACTACTATTGCTATTAGTACTACTATTGCTACTACCACTAACTAGTACTAGTATTAATGCTTCTACTATAGCACTACTACAGCTGCTGCGACTGTTACTCCTATATAGTCCTGCTGCTGCAGCTGCTGGTGCCGCAGGGCTAAGAACGATTGCACGAAGAGAGAGAATGAACGCAGATACGATTAGATTTTTTACGGTTGCGTGAAGCGTTTGCATGAAGACTTGCAATCTTTAGACGTGATAGGAAAGATGATTTGATTCGCATAACCTTCGCTGACATGGAAACTTTCTATGCGCGCGTACGGATACGCAGTATGCGCGCGTGTGTATACCCAGTATGCGCGCTTGCATAAATACTGCATGCATCTGCATGCGCGTATGCGTAAATGCTGTCTTCGCGCAGGTGTATACGCGGTATTCGCCTGTATGCACACGCCGTATAACGCGATGCTATCACAATCCCTTTAGCCCAGCACTTCCATCAGTAGGGCTATCATATAAGCACTGCTGCTCCCAGTCTAAGTATGAGTACTTCTACTTTCTATTTTTATTTCCATGGACGATAACGGCGACGATGACAACGACCACGAGTACGACGACGACGGTTAATAGTACCATTGCTACCACAATTATAACTGCTACTAGGCGTCAACACTGCTGCCTCTTGTGCTAAAGCATTGATTCGGAACGAACGATATTTTATATAGTAATGCAACGTAAGACCCCTACAGCGAGCAAAAACTGCAAGATTTCCGCGACCTATAATGAGCGCGCGTATATGGCGTATACGCACGCGCGCATACGGCGTATACGCACGCACGTATACAGTGTATACGCATGCGCGCATGCGGAATGTATGTACACGCGCATGCGGTGTATATTAGACGTGCATAGTTGGTGAATACGCACACTTGCGTGCGGTGTTAGTATAATGGCAATCGTTCTCCATTGCAGTTGTTTCTTTTTTGACCTGGTATCCAAGAACACTTTGGATCCGTCATGGTAGTTGCAGTGTTTGTTGCCTTGGTCGTTAATGTTTTCGGTAACTGTTTAACAGATCGGAGTTTTTTTCTTCGTTTTTGTCGTCGTCATCGTCGTAAGACTAGTATGCTTCTAGTATTTAGTTGTGTTCTGTTCTTTCATTAATATTTGTATATTTGAGAAATTGCACAAAATAATACCAGTAGCAGTAGCAGCAGTACCAGCAGTACCAACAGCAGCATCAGCAGCAGCAGCAGCGGCAGCGGCAGCAGCAGCAGCAGTAGTAGTAGTAGCAGTAGCTGTAGTAGCAGTAGTAGCAGTAGTAGCAGTAGTAGCAGTGGTAGCAGTAGTAGTGGTAGTAGTAGTCCTAGTAGTAGTGGTAGTAGTGGTGGTAGTAGTAGTAGTTGTACTAGTAGTAGTACTATTAGTAGTAGTAGTAGTAGTAATAGTAGTAGTAGTAGTAATAGTAGTAGTAGTAGTAATAATAGTGGTAGTAGTGGTAGTAGTAGTGGTAGTAGTAGTAGTAGTAGTAGTAGTAGTGGTAGTAGTGGTAGTAGTAGTAGTAGTAGTAGTAGTAGTAGTAGTAGTGGTAGTAGTGGTAGTAGTAGTTGTTGTTGTTGTTGTTGTCGTCGTCGTCATTCTTGATTTTTGTGTAGCAGTATAGGCAAAAAAAAACCGTCTCTTCAGTGCTTTTGTAAATTTCTAGCGCTAACAATATTGGTTTGGTGAAATTTTTCATGCCACATGTTGGCTTGGTCACGTCGCGGCTTCTGGTGAGTTGGTTTATTTCAAGGTGTTGCTGTTTCACAAATGTCGGAAGAAATAGATCATAAGGCACTGCATGACAGTTGCGTTACCAGTGCTTGCAACAGAATTTTTTACGCAGCCAATGTTCAAACACAGTCTGTCTAAAGAACGGTTGCTGTTCAAGCTGTGTGAAGCAAAAACTCGTAAACTACTATAGCTGTTTTTCGGCCTGTTATTTGGATGCATTTCCTTTTTGGCTGCGATCCGGGCGTCCATTGTTGCAAAACGGCATTGTATCATATCACTCCGCGCTAAGTTGTCCGCGACCAAACACAGCACGTGTACATCAACGTTGCACACAACGCCTTTGCATGTTGCAAGCTAGGCATTTTGCTTCACAGACTTTGCTGAAGAAACAAATCACTTACCGCGGCGCCACTCGTTGCCGCCATGAGCAAGTCGTCTAATGCTAAGAGAGATGCGGCGCGTAAGGCCGCGCGAACTCTCCGTGTACAGAAAAACATGGATAAATTGAAAGACCTGCTTGCACATTTTCCGGGGAAAGCAAGCTACCGTTTTCTGAAGAAAAAGGGTTTTTCTTAAGTTTTTCTTGATGTGCACGCAAAGGTAATTCGTGATGCCAAAATTCGTTCCCTGCACCGGCTGCCTGTCGCGAACGATTGGTTTATGTTTTTTGCCTGCATTTCAGATGTTTTGTCCGTGTTTCCGTTGAACGGATGTTTTCCTTCCGTTCCTCTCGCAAGAATTGAGGTCTGCTCGTGTTGTAAGTGCAGAATGGGCGGTTGCGTTCTACAATCTGGCCTGTTTGCGTTTACGCATTGCGTGGAACATAGCGCGCGGACATGCTCGTGACCACGGACTTCATGCATTGCCTCTCCATCATGTTGTTTTTTTTGAGGCCGCTTGTTTGTTTTTTTTTACCTGTTGATAACCGTTTTGGTCCTTCTAGGATTTTCCGAGCAACTCAGGCAACGTAAACTGGGCTGTGAGGATTGGATGGTCCACACATTGTTGCGCAAGAAGTGTTGCAATCTTTTCAGGGCC